GACAGCAACGGAGATGAATGGCATGATGAAGACGAAGAGTACGAGGAAGACTTGATCGAGAATGAGGATGGCGAGGATGACGATGAGCCTGTGGCTGGTGAAGAGGTAGATGAGGAAGAGATCATGTGGCAGGTATGTCTACAATAGTTGAAACGTTTTTGCTTCTCTTACAGATTTCATAGGATATCCGGGGAGGAGATGACGACGATGACGAAGCTGCTGATGAAGAGGAGGAGGAGGAGGAGGAAGAGGAGGAGGAGGAGGACGAACACGGAGGTAATTCATCTTTACTTCTACAAACCTCTTGCTGATCATTGCTAGAACCAGTCGCTGTCATTCATGCAGATCAAGGGGAGGAGGCTGATATATTATCAGATGACGAAGAGCAAGTAATGTCACATCGCTATGATGTTATTACTCACCTGTCGTTTAGTTTCCACGATGAAATGGGTGTCATTGATGTCCAAGGCATCATCCAAGACGGGGGATTCAGATTCACCGGTGCTGTTGACCTCGAGGGGGAAGAACTTGATGACCGGGATCCCTTCATTCGCAGGCGCCGTAACAGTAAGTCGAGGAACTTTTTTTCATACGCAAGCTAAGTCGTGCTTAAAGCGGGCGAGGATGTCCAAGTCTTCGGTCGCCCTCGGCATGTGCCAGCTGCGCCACCAGAAGCTACTGTTCACCCCCTTCTTCTGGATGCCTCTGCAATGACGAACCGTCCTGTTGGCTTAACTCGCGTGGCTCGCCGCTCCCACAGGAGCGCAGCTGGGGGTGTTCAACATGACCTCATACATTCCATTGAAGATATTATCGGGGGCGATACTGGCCATATGTTTCAGACCATCATAGATCGTCATGGTCCGGAAGCCATAAGAGTGGATCTCACTCCTGGTGCCATGGTGGATGGCCGAGGATTCCTTGGCCGAAGGGGTGCTACTCTATTCACTGGTGTCAGAGTCGACGGTGTGCGGGTGGATCGTGTATCTCGACCAAGCGATTCCCGTGGCGATTCCCGCCCGTTTGATCCCTTGTTGACTATACAAAGGTGGACCGAAGAAGCCAAGACGTTGAATGGCAAGCACGTTTCTGAAAGAGCAAATAGGTTGGGCAACCATGTCGTTATAGCGTTGTTACCAGCCGCCATCGAGGCCTCACAACAGAGGGAGCAGCAGAAGCGTCAAGCTCAGATCAAAGTAGAAGAAGCGGAAGCGCACCAATTGGAAGCTGATCGCACTGGGTCTGAGGAAGCTGCAGCCTCTGGCGTGATGGCCTCTAATGCAAGTCCGGAAAATGTTGCCAATGCACAGTCCGAGCCTCTCCCATCTGATCCACCACCTCTCACTACCATTGCATCGAATTCTGATGTAGAGATGGGTGATATACACTCGCCTGCTCCGCATTCTGACGAGCATGTCCCAGCTCGAGCTTCAGCTTCTTCCCTGGAAGAAGGCTCCGCTATTGGAGAAGTGCCAGGACCTTCTCAGCCTCCCTCTGAACGTGTTATTGTGATGATCCATGGTAGCGAGGTGGATATCACCGATATGGGCATTGATCCGACTTTCCTTGAAGCCTTGCCTGACGATATCCGAGAAGAGGTCATTAACCAGCATGTACGGGATCAACGCGCAGCAAGGGTCGAGCGCCCTGCCGACTCTCAGATCAGTCCAGAGTTTCTTGATGCTTTGCCACCGGAAATTAGAGCCGAACTCATACAACAAGAAAGGATGGAGCAGTCCAGACATGCTCCGGTGCCTGCACCAGTACAAGGCCCTCCGGGAGTTGCAGCAGATATTGATCCGGCAAGCTTCATTGCTAGTTTAGATCCACAGCTCCGACAAGTCGTTCTGATGGATTCTGACGATGGTTTGTTGCAAACTCTACCGTCTTACATGATCGCAGAGGCTGGTGTTTACCGCGATGAGGCAAATGGATCTCGAGGCGGTATTGCTGCTCGGGCTCTCAGAACTACTGCTGCTGCTCAACGTCCTCTCCCGCCTCGCAAAGTCCCTCCTCCGCGCGATGCTATTCAGCTCCTCGATAAAGCTGGGGTAGCGACGCTCGTTCGCCTACTTTTCTTCCCTCACGTTCTAAAGAAGAATCTACTTTTCAAGATCTTGGTCAATATCTGCGAAAATAGCAAGACCCGTTCGGAACTATTCAATCTTCTTCTCAGTATTCTTCAAAGTGGCCCAGGGGACCTAGCTGCTGTGGACAAGAGCTTCGCGCAAATGACAACTCGTACTCCAAAATCTGCGGTGCTTCAAACACCTAAGGCTGCTGCCAAGGTGAAAACAGCTGCGGACCTCAGCACACCGGTGGCGATTGGCGGCTTTCAGATCGAAACAGTCCCCGACCTCGTCGTACAGCGTTGCCTAGAGGCCATGACCTACATTGTCAGTTCAAATGAACAGTCGTCGCTATTCTTCTTGACCGAACATGAACTCCCGGCTGGTTTGAGGAAGATGTCCTCTAGGAAAGGTAAAGGCAAGGAGAAACCAGTGCCCCAGACACATTTCCCAATTGTGCTACTCCTTGGCCTTCTTGATCGACAATCACTCCTCAAAACACCCTCGACAATGGATTCCGTTGTGACGCTCTTGTCGACGGTCACCAAACCTCTGACAAGTCTTAAATCCGATAAGAAAGTGCAGTCAGATGACGTTGCACCAGAGACTTCCACTTCTGTGGCACCTGCTGGTGAACCTGCACCAACTACCCTCGAGGATACTGGGGCCCACGAATCAACTGGCGAGTTTTCAATTATGACTCCACATCAAAGTCTGATTTCCATTGACAGCAGTGTCATCTGAACCTCTTAAGCCTGATGTCCCAGCAGAAGTTCAGACAGATGCAAAACCCTCGCTTGCTGTCCCCCCACAAATCCCCCATTCGGTGTTACGTTTGATCGTGAACATTCTTGCGGTCGGAGAATGTTCGTCGCGCACCTTCCAGCAGTCTCTTGCCTTGATACAAAATCTCTCACACATTCCTGACGCGCGCGATATCATCGCGCAGGAGCTTAAAACAAAGGCGCAGGATTGTGGACATGCCATCCTTGCTGACCTGGGCGATCTTGTCAATGCCTTGACGAGTTCACGCGATGATGTCTTGGCATCCTCCGTTGCACCGAAATTCTCCTCACCATCATCAGACCAGACGAAGCTTCTACGAGTTCTCAAAACCATCGACTATATGTATACGCCTCGCATGATTGGTCCCGTGACAGACGAGACTCGGAAAAGTGAAGATGCTGAGAAGGTGCAGACTATCTACGAATCCTTCCATTTCGCACCTCTTTGGAGACGACTGGGGGATTGTCTGTCTACGATTGAAGAGAAGCCAGAGCTGGAGCACATGGCGATTGTACTGCTCCCTCTCATCGAGGCATTGATGGTAGTGTGCAAATACGTCGGATCAAAGTCGGCCGCGACTCGTGCCCTTCGAGTAGCAGCATCCCCTCGCTCTCCAACGACTTCTCGTGAGAGTATGGAAGACCTCTTCGTCTCCTTCACGGATGCGCATCGCAAGGTGCTGAATCTCATGGTCCGCAACAATCCGTCTTTGATGAGCGGCTCATTCTCCTTGCTCGTACATAACCCCCGCGTCCTTGACTTCGACAACAAACGCAATTACTTCACTCAACAACTCCACCGTCGCCCGCACCCACGTGAACACCAGGGCACACTCCAGCTAAACGTACGCCGAGCTAGAGTGTTCGAGGATAGTTTCCAGTACCTTCAGCGCAAGACAGGAGAACAGATTAAACATGGTAAACTTAGTGTGCGCTTCTACGACGAGGAGGGCGTGGATGCTGGCGGCGTCACTCGAGAATGGTTTCAGATCCTGGCACGTCAGATGTTCGATCCAAATAACGCTCTCTTTCAACCTTGCGCGGCCGACCGTCTTACTTACCAACCAAACAAGAACTCATGGGTCAATCCCGAGCATTTGTCTTTCTTCAAATTTGTAGGACGCATCATTGGGAAGGCGATTTATGATGGCCGTCTCCTAGACGCCTACTTTGCGAAGAGCATATACAGACAGCTCTTAGGAAAACCTGTGGACTACCGGGATGTCGAGTGGGTTGATCCCGCGTACTATAACTCGTTGTGCTGGATTTTGGATAATGATCCAACGCCCCTGGACCTGACATTCAGTGTAGAAGCGGATGAGGTTTGACAAATTTTATTGCATTCTACTCGTGGCTAAATCTCCCGACAGTTTGGTGTGAATCGTATCTTTGCTTTAAAGGAGGGCGGCGAGTCGATACCCGTAACGCAAGAGAACAAGCGAGAGTTTGTGCAGCTCTCCGCAAATTTCCGGCTATATTCGTCAATCAGCAAACAAATTGAGAATCTTGTGGCGGGCTTCCAGGAGATCATTCCAAATGAACTTATCACAATCGTAAGTGTGTTTCATGACTGCAACATACATCCTTACGCATCCTCTCAGTTCAATGAGCAAGAGCTTGAGCTACTCATCTCCGGCACTCCTGATATTGATGTGGACGAATGGCGTGCAGCTACTGAGTACAGTGGCTACACAAGCTCTGATCCTGTGATAGTTTGGTGGTGGAGAGCTCTGAAATCCTTCAATCGAGAGGAGCGAGCCAAAGTTCTCAGTTTCGCTACTGGTACTTCGCGGGTACCGCTTGGTGGATTCGTGGATCTGCAAGGTGTTCAGGGCGTTCAGAGATTCTCCATTCATCGCGCATATGGAGACCCAGATCGGTTGCCACAGGCCCACACTTGTAATTGGACCCCGTACACGATTATATTCCATTTTCTAACTTTGTTCTTCCAGGCTTCAATCAGATCGACTTGCCACAATATTCATCGTACGAGATGTTGCGACAACAATTACTTCTCGCCATCAACGAGGGCGGGGAAGGATTCGGATTTGCATGATGCAGAGTATCTCGATGGAAAATAGACTATTTGATATTGATCACCGACATGTAGAAACACGCATTGTATATATAAGCAATCGCATATCCCTCAACACTTTTGTTCTGTTGGCTCTTTACCCAAACATTATCATCATCATCGTTGTAGGTCTAATTCCGTTCCGGACTATCATCGACCTAAATTGCTGTGGGGCAGCACTGGGGTTCGCTCTGCGGGCCAGGATGTACTTGTAAAACTCTAATCTTGGACTATCATGTAATATATTGTTCGGCCATAGTCTTAGCACACGCGGAAGTTCGTGTGAGTGACGGTAGTTCGTGGCTCAACGTTCAACACACACCTGCACCCTGATCGAAAAACAGGTTGTCCGGAAGCCGATTCATGGTCTTCACGGTGATAATCGTGCGATTATACTAGGGAAATCTGACACGTTGTTCAATCAGGTGCTTGGGCTCTGATATAAATGAAGATATGCCTATGATCGGGCGAATGTCTATGGAGAGACGTGTCCCGCAAATTTCAACAGTAAGTCGTCATCTTCGATCGGACGCATGACACAACGAGACCACCTATCTGCAAGGCATACCGCCAAGACATGTTTGCACTACCAGCGGCGTCATTTACCTATCACCGTTGAGATGTAAATTCGTACCATAAGATGGTTCTCGGATATTAACACTGCGTATGCGAATGATGGGCAGGTGCAATAACTGGACACAGCAGTAGATACAACATCGAGGTGCGGAAAGACGGTGTATGTTGAAGTGGTGCCCAGAACTTCGTAGTGGTACCGGCCCCAAGAGGTCTTGTACTTTATGACTGAATGCCCATCATTCAGCTGCAAAATTTGTAGCATATGGAGGTATTACTCACCACCTTCGCGATCAATAATGTCCAAAGCAGCTACGATCATTGTGTCTGGGAGAAGAGCGCGAAGCATTTCAATGCCTTCTTCGACTACATGCGGGGTTTGTGAGCGTCCTGTTGTGAGATCTAATAGGACATACAGCTCTCTTCGTCCGAGTCGAACGCCTGAATGCTTGCTTGTAGGACATGCCTAAGGTGTAGTGAACCTTGAAGTGATTCAACGGGCATCATTGACTGGAGTAATCCATATATGCACTGGCAGTCACCAGTGGCAGTGACTCGGATTACTTAGTATGAATTTATGTAAATGCCGTGGTTGTTTGAGTTCTGACAAGTATAAAGTAATACCGACGGCCCTTTACCAGGTCCTATCGCTTTAATTTGTTGTAGACCACTCGTCCAAGTTCTCGTATTAAAAATGGTGCTCGAACGCTTTCCCTACGACGTCCTTCGTCACATTTTCTCTTTTCTACAGCAGTGCCACTTGGACACTTTATCGGCTCTTGCACGTACTAGTCACTCAATCCACGAACCTGCTGTTGACCTTCTTTGGGAAAATCAACAAACGCTCTGGCCACTTGTTCTTCTGTTGCCGTCGTCTGTGATCGAAAGAGCTTCACTTGGCAATCAACGGCTTTCGTCATGGGTCACAGTAAGTATATCATCATGTCCGTGTCCTGAAAGGTTGATTAGATATGATATTAGTTTCTTGCTCGCGCTCCACGTTGCCCGACGTGGGATAGGGTGCTTTATTACGGCTCTCGCATCCGGCGGGTCTGCTTCAGCGTGTTCTTTCGCATGACATACTATAAGCTGCTGGCAGAGTGTCCCTCGCCTCTTCTTCCAAATCTCGCTCACCTTGAATTTCATGCATACCATGAAATTAAATCGGATCTACTATCGTGCCTTCAACTGCTAGTCGAAGGGTCTCAAGGCCTGCAATCCTTGACAGTAAAATATTGTCCCAGGGGAATTCCGGCATCAGTTTTGAATGTTGCACTAGCTTGTCTCACGGCAAAGTGCTCTATGCTGGAGCAAGTTCACATCTCGTTCGTGCTCTGTTGCCATTTTACCAGTGGACTGTACGCGCCTGTATTCTCTAATGGGCAGAACTATACATTCCTCAAGGCTGTGGATATGCTGTCGGAACATAAACCTTGGATTACTCAGCATCCAAGGTTGACGGTATCTGCAGAAATTGTCAGAGAGCTTGGGAGGATGCCTTGCCTTGAAGAGGCAGGTTTTAGTTTGGTTTTGGGTCCTGACGAGCCATTCGAGATAATTTCGCGGGGTTTTGTTTCGGATAACCCGTATGCTAGGAGATTCGGCACCCTCAAGAAACTCAGGCTGCGTACGGCAACTGTGAAACATACCACAGCGATATTGAAAATTATTGGCTCCCATTTGATGGAGGACCTTATGCTGTGGGTGGATGGACCCGTGTCAGTACCTGCCTTCTACTCGATCGCGGAGTTATTGTCTTCCAACCGGACCGACGAAGATCGGCTGAAGTTCATCAATATCAAAAACTTCAAGTTCATAGCAGAGAGATTTTTTTCAGATCCATTCAAGCCCGTACCACTCAGCCATGGGGCTCCAGCTTCTATGATATCTCCCTTATTCACACTCCATGCTTTGCATAACTTCAAGATCGATGTCATGGATACGGTTGCTGCAGGTCATGCCATTGGCGGACTGATGCCGGCGCTTTGCAGAGATGACCTGGAGACTATTCCTCAAGCATGGAAGGATATCGAGGAACTAGAGTTGCATTGGCTAAGAAGTGGCACAGAGACAGACACGCGTATTGACGACGATGGCGAAACATGGGAATCAGAAGGACCTACTCTGGCCGAAGTCGCGCTTCTGGCCAGCCGGTGTGAGAAGCTTTCTTCACTAGGAATATGGTTTAACGCCCAGGACTGGTTTGATGATGACCCGAAAATGGATTCCAATGGAGAAGTAGTAGAGGCAGAAGATCTGATAACGTCGTACGAAAATCAAGAAAGACGCGTCAACACCCAGGTATCGTCTCGCGCTGCTGCCACCAGCAGACATTTGGATCACTCGAACGAAGGACCGTCATCTAGTACGCTTCGTCAACTCTGGGTTGGATTGTCCCTAGTTTCAGTCGCGGCAAGTTGGCGCGTGTCCAGTTTTGCCCACAACCGATTCCCTCATGTTGCTGGATTTGGATGGGATTATGCACGAGCACTTTCCACTCTGGGTGGTTGGGAGACGCAAAAGTGGAAACTCGTGAATGATACTTTCTTTGCGATGTATCCCCGTCAGAGATTTATATAACTTGGTTATAGAACCATATGTGATGCGCATTGCGGTCTAATCATCCCAGCATATGAAGCATCGTCAGAACCCTTTGTACCTTGATACAGCCTGTAGTACATGCCTTATGTTTTGTTATGTTTTCTGTTTGGATCGAAAGCTCTTGCCAAACAACACATGAGTCAAAGATAAACTTGAACCTGTTTTGAAAATGACACCTTCCAGACAGATCATCAAATAATGGAGTACCTCTTCGTTTTCGCTCAATCACACGAAGAATTCCGTGTGCCAGAGCTCCTCTCGATATCTGAGCTTCATGGCTTTACGATAGGCTTTGATCGCTACGCCAATACCCTCGACAAGGCCATCAAACAACCATTCATGATCCTGATGCTACACAAGGAAGAGCATGCACATATTTTGGCTCAGAGATGCATCCTGATAAAGTGTGTATTTACAATATTTACAAACTGTCTGCTCAAAAAATGTCTAATTAGGTCGATTCATGAGTTCTACGCCGAGGGCGCATCTTACGAGGTGCTGCATGAACAAAACAGCCGAGCTCGCCCGCGATGGGAGCGATACATCCCAGACACATCGTTCAAATTTTCGGTTTTAGGATACAATTTCACCGTCAGCCAACGTCGCCAGCGTCAGATCATCGAAAGCTTTGCATACATGGACTTCTTGGGTAAGATTGAGATGAAGAATCCAGAAGTTATTCTCACAGTTTTTGAGGAATGTATGTTCTCCATATCTATGTAGCACGATTTAAACTCAAATTCGTGCATAATTACCAGACGAGAGTGGCCGAGCACCTGATGGTGGACTGCACAAGGATGGGGAATTCACCCAAGTTTACTTCGGCAGGTTGGTGCGTTTCGCACACCTTCTACCTGTTCATTAGCTGAATCGTCACTCATCTTTAGATCGTAGATGGAACTGCACGCTCACTGATGGGAACCTTTGACGTTAAGAAACGCCAGTACTTCGGAAACACTAGCATGGAGGCAGAGATTTCCCTGTTGATGGCAAATCAGACTCTAGTGTGTTTGTCCTGCGCCTGCTTGTGGTCGAGCTTACACGGCTGCTAGGCATCTCCTGGAAGACTGGTCTATGACCCATTCATTGGCACTGGAAGCATGGCATATGTTGGTCAACTGTACTTCACCCAGCTTAGCCCTGACAATTTCATCAGACTACAGCCTACTTCGGCGCTTTTGTCTACGGTTCGGATATCGACGGGAGACAAATGCGCGGAAAGGGCATGTAATTTACCGTTGCAAGTATCTTTATGTACTAACGCTGTCCCACAGATAAAACTCCAGGCATCATTCGGGCTGCTTCGCAATATGGCGTGGCCTCCCGTATCATGGATCTTTGCACGTTTGACGTTACAAACCACCCGTGGCGTTGTGGCAGCCTCTTTGACGCCATTATAACCGATCCACCGTGTATGCACCTTTACAATCGACGATATTGGTTCCTCTGACAAGGGCGTATTGTAGATGGTGTTCGTGCAGGAGCGAAACGCCTCGGTCGCAAAAAAATCCGTGAAGATCGACTCCAACCTGCCATTCCACGACCGTAAGTTCTTGGCCTCCGATATCCCTTGGGTTCACTAGAATATTTTGATGTAGAAATGAACCTTATATACCCCCAACGAAGCCCTACGAACTTTCTCAACTCGTCACAGATCTTGTTCTCCTTGCGCGGTATCTCCTCCGTCCAGGCGGACGTCTCGTGTTCTTCCTGCCTACGGTAAGCGCCGAGTACGCCCCACCCGATATCAATACGGTATTGTGCGAGGGGATGGAACTTGTAGCGAATAGTTTGCAGGATTTTGGAAGCTGGGGGCGGAGAGTAAGTCATGGGCCTCGTTATATTTATATTTGGGATGCCTGTGATATTGATGCGCTTGGATAGCTGATTACGATAAAAAAAACTACGCATGCCGAGTACCTACCTCCATCTTTTGACTCCGTGATGGAAGTGGAGGAAAGCAGGGACACGCACATTCCTGCGCACAAAGATTTCAGAGAGAAGTATTTCCAGGGTTTCAGAGGGACGACGAGAGATGAGCTTCACTAGTACATCTCCATTTACTGAAGCCAAGCCTTTGAAACCAACTGCCATTAATGCAAGATAGTGGCAATACCAAGCTCTGTCTCGCAACTGAATCAACTTTGATGCAAGGAATCTGGCAAAACCGAGCGACTAATAGTCCTGAAGAAACGCATATCGAAGCTTCTGGAGCTGCATGTCTCGCGGGATACCAACAATATTTGGGGATACTACTCGGTCAGATAAATGAAGAAATGCACTTGTCGTACATCTTAGTTCTCATGATCACAAGTTGCTCACAAGTCCAGATTCTGCCAACAAACAGTTATAAGTTAAATTGTGCCAATTAAATACATATGAATCATCTTCAGTCCCAGAACAGCATGTCGAAATGTTAAACACCCGAGGAGCAAATGTCGAATCTTGTTATGCAACAGTCCCGATCACCTCCAGCCTGGTATCCTCTATTTCCTCAGGCGATGGTATTGCGTTATCTTTATCTTTATCTTTATCTTGTATCCATCCGCTCTCCTTTTCTATCGACTTGATGGACTGATTTGAATAGGCCGTGCCTAACGTACCCATCGGCAACGCCTCCACACAATGATTTGGATGTAGGTGCTGCGCCATGCGTTCGTCCATCTCCCGCCGCACCTGCTTAGCGCGTACGAACACCACGTTTGCGCTCACCACCGCCACTAACACGCCGTGCAGCACGAACGCTGAGTGCATATTATATGGTGGGGATGCGGTCGCTGATGCGCGGAGGGCGCCTTCCGCTACACACAAAGAATGTCAGGAATGCAAATCATTACTGAATTAGGGTGGGTGAGACATACCGAGTATGAATATGATGCCCAATGCATTGCCTCTTGTGGAGGGCACTGTATGAGCAGAGGGGACAATATATGAGGAAATGGGACTTACGTGCACCACAAAATGGCGGCACTGCCGTCTGCATTTCGGGTAACTTCGACTGCCAACTCAAGGCCGACTGGGAGCATGATTAGGGAGCAGATACCGATAATGACCATGATCGCGAAGAGCCCGCCGGTGTTATTCGGTTTGACTGGAAGAAGATCAGCTCACGTGAAAAGATGTATAGGTGATTGGCACGATCGTCAGAAGATGATCGGCAGCGAATCACAATAACCTGCCACGTCATCGGTTCGCTACGGACCAATGTACAACACAGGAAATTGTCTACGAAGTGAATAGAATTGCACTCACCAGCCCAGATCAAACTCAACCACGCTCCTGCAGCAATAGGGACAAGGACTTTTATTGTTATGCCCAGATGGTGGGTCAAAACCCGGTCGAACAGAGGAGCAGTGACGATACCAGTGAAAACTCCACTGAGTAGGAGGGTTGCGCCAAGGAGGCCTGATATCGAATCGCTGTACCCCTCAGGTTCCTGTGGGTGACATGTTTGGTAAGGATGTTTAATGTTGAGAAGGAAGACTTACGAAATATTGCGCGGAGAGGATGCTGAGTGCGTTTGCCCTGTGCAAGTTTCGTATGAGAGTTCATACAATGAGGTAAAACACTCACGCGCCAACGAGTACACCGAAAAGTAACGTGTTGATGACGAAATCCAGCCGTTCGTGAGGAGTCATGTAAGCAGGGTCGCCGGTGCGAACTTTCCCAATCATCGCACGTAGGAGGGAGTTGAGTGATTGTGGGGCCTTAGAGCCTGCATATGCTGTTCGGGAAATTCAGTAACGGGTGCATAGGAAACAACGTGCGACACGCAGTACGTACTAGGTGGGCTTGGTGGTTCATTCTCGATGAGAAAAAGGGCTGGAACTACTACGGTAGATGCGATCGCTAGGACCAGTATCTGTCCCAGAATACTATCAGACACACAACAATAGAAAGTTTCAGGGAACCCACAGATTGCCTTGCAGTGCCGACCAGAGGACTAAGCAATTGACCAATTGCGCCACCTACAGGGTTGGCTGCCGGATCCCAGTTGAAGACCGTAGTTTCAAAGATCAATGAAGGAGGCTCACCGATGGCGATCACCATTGTTGCAGTCGTTCGCCCTTTGAGGTCAAACCACATCTCAGAATACTTTGGACCAAGAACTTGGAAGATAGGTTGGGATATTGCCGAGAAGAACTGCATGTGATGGTGGAACGATTGAGTGGCATAGGATTGAATAAGAAAGGAGTGCGCACCTGTCCGAGGATGAGTAGCGCATAAGCACTACTCAGGGGACAAGGTCGTGATGGTACCTGCATAGCGCACCCAGCCTGATATGAGGAAGGTTATCACGCCGACTTCCGCCTTCAGGAAAGATCTATATTAGTTGAAGTACGATAAGTGGAGAAGACTCACACAGCGGCGAATACCGAAGCGCGTGCAAAAAACGGGAACGAGAAGGGAGACGGGAAGGAAGACACAAGATATAATGTTACCCAGCCAGTTCACCTGGCTGATGGAGATGTCAAATTCCTGAGCGGCTATAGGAGACTATCAAGTAAAGTATGAATGCTGAAGACGAGTACACACTTTCTGTCGATATGGGCCCGAACCATGCCCAGGGCATGCCTGTCACGAGGGCCAGTAGAATCTATATGGCGAAATGAGTATCACAAGGTGTTACAGCACGAGATCTAAACTCACGAAACCAAGGAGGCCAGTAAAGCGACGCCTGTAGAGGCGGTAAACGGGGAGGTCATCGTCCTGCTTCGGCTCTTCGACATGACTGATGCTGTTGGATCGAGTTGATTGTCTGGTATCTGTGATTTTGGGATCGGGGTATGATTCAGGATGTGGCACGCTCGGCGAGACGGAGATTGCGCGATCAGGTTGGAGAGCGGAAATATCCTCTATGGTCATATTTTCACGTGTAGTAAAATCTTAAGGAGGAGGCCAGTTGCTCTTGCTATAAGTATGGGATTAAAGAGCCTGAAACCTGTACTATTGTCGACCCGAACACATTGCCAAGGGCACTATAATTATTATTTAATTGTATTCTATGACGGTACTAGTACGTACTAGTCTGGTCGTGCCTGAAATAGGTACAAACACCAGGAATATCCTTCCGTTGGTTCTGGGATATAGACCCGCAAAATTAAAATGGCCACGGTTCTAGTGTGAGTATCATATGAGCTGCGCACAACAAATTCAAGGACCAAAGTTAACTTACTTTTCTCTGCGTGTTCTGCGGAGGCTCCTGCCTGTGCAACAAATCCAATAGAGGAGCTCAAGGTCGAATGCCGTGCCCAACGCCTAACGACCAGCGCCCAAGTGACCTTGTGACCATGATAAGAACACAGCGTGGTGAACATACCGCGATGCGTATACTTACACAGTCCTTTTTTTCTCATAGATCAAAATCAGCCGGTACCGATGATCTCCAGCTGAAATCAAGCTCGATATAGACCATCAGTTAACAGGTAGCAATCCCTACTAGGTCAGGCAAATAAATAATCATAAAACGTTCCTTTCCCTGCTTTCTTCCCCGTTCTCTTCCCCGCCCTTCGCATAAGCGGTTGCCTCCTCGCAGGGGACCTTGATGGCGACGACCCGCTTCTCGGATGCTCGTTCCACGCACTAAATCGGGTACGCGCATTCCGTACGTATATACCGCCGCTGTCTCGTACGTTAGCTGCACGTGGGGTCCTCTCCAAATCATTAGCTTCCGCGTCTAGGGAGAGCGACTCTACAGACGCTGCGAACCCTTCGTCCAATTCAAAGTCTGATCCACCGATTACAGACCAAGCCGCTGGGGAAGAAGGTGCCTCCGAAATTGCCGAGAGCTCTCCAACATGTGCTTCATGTTCTATGTCGGATGCAAAGTCAGACACGAAATCTGATTCGGTATCAACTTGGGAAACGTCTGTCGCAGGGGGCGTGTCGAGTGTTGAGGCTATGACTTGCGTAACTTGAGGTCGCAGTAGATATGTCAGGCGTTTGCCGTCGACCTCTTTACCTACGTAAAAATGATTCAGTTGACCAAAATATTCGGAGCCCAGTCGATCACTCACTGAAACTCACAACCCCATACCACCGGGCCAGACAATGTACTATATACCTCTCAAATGCACCATCCGCACCATCCTTCCCAACAACCCACACAAGACAGAGCGCCTGTCTGCTTACCTCTAGTACATCATCCCTCCCTCCAACTTTCTCTCCCGGAAAAACAACACCCTGATCCTCTCCCAAGTACGTCCCTCCCACAAGCCAGGCACACAAATGACCCTCAATCGCCTTTACTATATTCCGAACGCCTGGTCTGGCTCTCAATGCTCGTCGGGCTCCCTTCAATGAGAGGGAAAACAATCCAGCAGAGGCAGTTGTTGGGTCTCGAGAACCTGGAACAGTAGAGGGTAGCACAATTGACCGAGGAAGATACGGAGGTAGCGGTATGGGAAAGGTGGAGAGCTTCGAGGGGACCGGGACCGCATGATCACCACGCAAGGGCGGCACAACATGAGGGTTGTCCGTAAATTTAGCTGTGAGCGGAAGGAGAAAAATGATAATGTGTGCCTTGCATGTGAATAGCGGCACTACGCACCATTTTCCCTCCTGCGTATCCAGCGCTTCCCCTCATGTTCGTCCCGACGGACTTTAGAAATCGAGGTCTTGGAGGGTGCAGCGGCAGAGCGCTCGCGGAGGTGGGCATATCGCTCCGTAAGCTTTGGGTTGCGCAAGATTGCAGGAAACGAGAGCGGAACGAGGCTGTCATCTGGCGCCTGAGCCTCGATTTTCCCAGAAGGTTTCTGAGACGAGGCATCGCCTATTTGCTTTGCACCTGGCAGTGCAGGTGGTGGTACGGCCATTGACGAAAGGGATATCTCTGCAGCTGCATGTTCCGAGTTATCTACGATAGGGAATGGTACCGGAGTGCTTGCTTCAGCCATATCGACAGCACTAGATTGTTATCTCGGATTAAGAATTGAGCCTGCGGAATATATACGGTAGAAAATAAATATTCGTTTGAGACTCACTATTTGTAACTTCGAAAACGGTGGTTAGACAACTACAACCGTACCATACTCAGCGATAAGATTGAAGCTAGTCGGTTGCCTGAAAAAGGTAAGCGACCTCCGTCGGCTTATAAATCTGGTCACATGCATCATGTCCCTCGGTAAGGACTTGTCACTACATTTATAAAAAGTTAACATACATACAAAGCGAAGCAGCGAAATCTGGCAGACTGATCCTACAACTAATGTCTCGTGGGTAGCTTTCTTTTGCGAAAGAGGCTTGTAGGCGCAGGAACATCTAGAGGAGGGCAAATTGCCTCCTCCTTTTTTTCTTCTTTAACAGCTCCAGACTCCTCGAGTTTCACCTTTGGAACATCTTCCCCACCAGAGTCTGCTTTCACGCTGTCAGGGGCAGGCTCATCGGCTGCCGGTTGAAATGCTGCACGTTTCCATGCTATCTTCACCTTCGCATCATTAGTTAGCGCGTCCTGAGCATCCGCTTTGATATTGTCAACGACAGTCTTCGATGAAGTAGGCTGCGGTTCCATCGACTCCTCTTTCTTCACTTTCAGCTTGATAGGTATAAGCCCCGGGTCATATATTTCTCCCAATCCTATGTCAACCGTCTTCTTCCTCAGCTTGAAAACACGTTCGTCCTCGATCTCGTCCACCGGTGCTTCACGTTTCCTGTCATCCATAGAAGACCCTGCTATCTCTCCGTTTGCATCCTCTGATACGCTTGGAACCTCACTCCGTATCGGCGCAGGAGACGCCGATGTATAATTTTGAACGTACTGCCATTCTCCTGCAACACCCATCGTCTGCCTCATATCTGCCTCTGCCTTAGCTCGCTCCACATCAGGATCAACATATCCTAGCGATGCAGCCGTCGAGTAGTTGGCATACGGATTGCTTGGTTTTGTTGGAGGCTTCTTCGGCGCAGGTGCTGCAGCGGGAGCACTACGTGAAGACGATGATCCGACTCCTCCAAGTCCAGCACCTACATCTTGAGCATATGCAGCGGCGGCGACCTGAAGCGTGAATTAGTGAATATATATGCAAACTAGATATCAACGCACTTTGCTAATCCTCTCCATTTCACGCTTCTCCTCGTCCCTATCCTTCACGGCTTTCTCGCCAGCCTTGTACAGCCCGCGCACAAAGCGTTCGACATTGCCTTTATGGCGCATTCCATTCTCGTGGTGCTGCCTAGATGGAACATCGTCTGCTATATAAATGTTACAATACTTGCAGTGGTAACGTTTATGCGACACCCAGTATTCCGACATGGAAGATCGCGGTCAAGCTAAAGTGCCAACACACCGTGGGACATGTGACACCGCACATGTCCCACGGTGTGTTGGCTGACCGGAATGAGTGTCGCATAAACGTTACTAGCTCTCTTTGCACCTAAACCTAACCCTCAAGATCTATTATGCACGTGGGTTTTTCTTGCAGGATTTTAAATACCCTAGGGTGCTGGGTTTCATATGTATACACAATATTAGGATGACGGAGTTTAGAACAGAATTACGAAAAGGTTTAGGAGGGGTGTGATTCGCTTATATAATATCTGCTAACCCTTAACACTCAGGTGAGGCAACGCAACAGAGCCAAAGTGACAGCGGATGAGCCTGAGCTCCCCTACAAAATGTACTATGTAATTCGCACAGATGCTTAAACAAGATTTAACTACTAGCATACTTGAATAATGATATACCTTCTGCAACCACTTCGTCACGCGGTGAATATCCTCGTCAACAGATATAAGGTTGAGCCGACGAGGCGCTGTAATCCAACTTTAAGTTCTCGTCCTGCCAGGCAAACATGACATACACACCACTGAATTAGTGATTGCCGCAAAGGAAAGTATAAATATCAAATATGCCTTCGTCCGTGATACGCCTGCATCGGGATTGAAAGTATTTGATGGATCGGAACCAGAGAGAATAATGAGCAAGAGTACGCCCTGTCAGGGAGACATCTCATCAACACAGTGTAAATTTCGATTCGACGGACTCACATTCGACAACACCCAAGCCAACAGTACCTATGAAATGTTAGCATCCAGGTCTTAAATCGATGAAATCAACGCACATTAGTTCTGACGTTGGCGTAGTAGTCGATAGCTGCCATCTCTCGCTCTCGCTCCGTAATTATCTTACCCTTGTCGTTATTTGCAGGTTTCCGGTATTTCAGGTTGTCAATTGACTCCTCGTAAATACCATTTACGTCTGCAGCTTCGGCAAGCATAGCAATATCGACTTGAGAATGAGAGTCTTGTACTGCGGCACCGAGGTCCGCGTCTGGAACCGCATCTTGTTTCGTGCCCCATGATATCTAAGACGTGGTCAGATTACTTCTGACTAGTGCAGACTGAACCTACATCATCGAGGTTTGAAAACGCGTATCTTTTGAATGTGTTAGTGTTTATTACGCTCAAAATCGAGTCAATAAAAGACGACATACATGCTCAAGATGTTCATGTATGTCGGACTCAGTAGAAGGTATTGCACGAAGCTGGTAAACATATGCCATGGATCAAACGCCAGGAGGCTGCTAAGGATATACACTACGCGGATCAAGGTTGATCACAGGCGAAAGGATAACGTAGCAAATGATACTGACCTCCGTAAGTTATTGCCACGCTCAGAAGGACCACGCCTCCACCAGCCTGGCTATATGAAGCTATACCACATAGCACAGATGCAATGATGAGGTAGACCATCAGGACCGCGAGGAACAACGAAGCTAGAAGGTATTTGCGATGAGCCCTGTCTAGATGTCAACATCAACACAGCTTGAACGTCAAAAGAGACATACGCTTTAGGCTTGTTTCCCATGGACAGGAGGAAGCAAGCGATGATTATCGAAGCCAAAAAATACTGAACTACGGCATTGAAATATTTGATGGAGGGCACACCAAAGGAATTGGCTTCTAATGACGAACTCAGGACAACCTGCAAAAACGACTCAATCTCTGCACCGATCATAAATGACCTCGAAACTGACGAAAAACAGGTAAAAGTTTCCCTGAGACTTGTGAGTCAGCATTTCATCCGGGCAACTATGCAATACTTACAATTCCAAACCATGAAAATACTATGTTGATAATATTATAAACGGTCTCGATCATGAGGGTCACCTTTCGACTGAAACTGTGGCCAGACTGCATAATTTGCCCTACGTGTGCCACAGCATATACGGCTGCAAAAAACGAGCCATTCAGCCATCGACGACGCTGGCTGATGAACTCTGGTAGCGCATCTGGCACGTCGGTTTCACCAATGGCACCCTTGACATACTTCAACACCCTGTTAATACCGACCAGTTAGGAGTGCGAAGCCGTGACAACTTGGGCGTTACCAGTTCGAATTTGCTTTCGCTATGAGCTCAAAACAAAGGATACGCTGGGGGTTGAAATAATCTCAGCAAACAGCATCATCCGGAAGCAGGGAGGCATACATCTTCTGCCAGATCTGCACCAGAACATCAGAGAAGTTGCAAAAGAAGCCTGATGCAAAGACATACACATGTTCGATGTGAATATGTCGGTGTCATGGCCATGAAGAACTTCCCCTTTGAAATAGGAAGCTAAAGGACCTGTTCCGTCCTTGTTATTTGCCAAAGCGATATACCTGTGTAAAGCTATAAGAGGCATTGCTGATAATTGACGATTCCAGTATACCTATAAGCAGAAAAAGCGCCAGGCTGTAGTGGCATCAATTACATCATTCACGGTAGACTCGATCCATTAGCATACCAGGACACTTATGTAACCGAACATGCTTTCTGTTGGCTTATCCAAAATATTGCTAAGCTTGTACTCGAAATTTTGAGCTGCGACTGGAAAGACATTGGATGTTAAGAAGCAACATTATCAGATGAAAGAAACGTCAGACCTAGGGGATTCAGCAGGTACTGCCAGTTCTTGCCTTTGTATACTGCGATTTCACCACAAGCACCACCAACGTTTGAGTTAACGTCGAATGTTTTCCACAACCGATATATACTATTATTGCCTGGGCGTGTGCCGACGTCGAGCAACACGCAGATATTGGGCTGAGGATACAGTGAGTTTTACACTGTTTTTTATGATATTATCACTTACCTGTAACATGGGTGCAAAGGCATTGAAGAACCATCGATGACTATTTATCTTTTTCTGGTTCTTCTCCTTCATGCAAAACATAATTTGCGTTGGTACGATGCCCTTATCTGGATACTTGAAGTGAAGGTTCGGATCCAATGCAAAGGAAGTCGTGTACTCAAATAGGTGCGCAGTGACTTCCTTGTCGTTAACTTTGTTCTTCATGTGATCTCCAGGCTGGTAAACTCCAAGGAGCGTCAAACAGTCAAGCACACGAGGGTGAACCTTCTTGCGGCCATCCGCTACAATACAAACGACAACCTGAAGGGTATGAGAAGAGTAAAGCAGCGTGAACAGCGGATAATCACCTTTTTCCAGGCATCAGGTCCCCATGTCTGAGAATTCTTGCGCGAGCCAAGATGTGCTATATTGCGCATCACTCCATACAAGGTCCTACAAAAGAGAACCTCGTCTTCCTGCAATAACAGGTTCAAGAAGTAGATGTCTAAATCACCCTTGACACTCACGTTGTACATAGTGATAACAATGAATAACTCAGTTGTGCGGCCATTCTCGTTCTGTCGTAGAAAGAACTTTTCTTTTTCGAAATCGTCGGGATCGCAAGTGACCGCTGTGTACCGCGTCTTAGTCATCTCTGGTTCCCCCCTGTAAGGGAGGACGAGCTTTGGAGGTACATTAAGGTCTACGACGAGATTGCCGTTTGTCAGTTGCACCCGTTTCTTTTTCAGGCGTCTACGAACGCGGCCGACGGGTGCAGGTCCAAAGTGACGAGTTTCGACAGGTGTCTCTGATTCTTGATATCCAACTGAAGCATCAGGTGTCTTTTCGCCGTCGTCGTAGTACTCTGCGGTGCCGGGAGCATCAGCATACCGCGAGATATCATACTCGTCATTGTATGATGACTTCTCATCTTCATAAGGGTTATACTCGCCAGCTTGAGAGTATCCCGTATAATGAGTGTTGTTATTTGAATCAAGTTTGTAGTCTTCATCCATGAACGGAGTTGGCGACCGTGATCTGGGGGGAACGTAGGAGGAGCGGGTAGAGTTACCTGATGCATATGCTTCTGTGTCGTGTTGGAAATGATCGATGGAGGTGTTCAATGGCTCCGTGCCATAATTCGAATAGATAGTGTGGGTAGAGCTGAAAGGAGTGGCGACGACGTGTTCATGTGATGTATTCGAGTGTGATTGAAGGAGCCCTCGTGCAGGAGACAGTTGAGCGTACGGAGCTTGCTGATGGGTGTGTGTGGAAGCGTAGTGGTCTGAGAAAGGGTCATGACCCTGAGAAGACGCAGGTCCATCAGTTGTGTATGAGTCCTCGAGATCCAATGTTTCCCCAGTCATGATCGTTGGAAGTAGCTGCCCTGGTTGATACCTTTCTGGAGGCGGACGAGAATTAGAGGAAGGAGATCTGTTTGTTGCAGCACTTTTCTCGAAGTGTGCTTCACTGATTTCGTACACGGTCAGAATGTGACTCACGTAGTATGCCGCTAGGACATTACCTGCGTGTATACTCGTGCGAATCAACTGGATGGTGAATGAGCGTGTCATCCACTTGTTGATTGATGGAAGCATATGACGCGTCCACACTACACATGTGCATCAATATGTTCTTCGTTTGTCAGTGCACTGAGCACTCACGAGTTGTTTGGATTTATGAATGTTTCTTGATATTCTGCATCCTCGCGGACGTCTTCTGATATGCTTGGCACTGGTTTTCTACGCGAAGTTGCGCGCCTCATCCCTGGAGTCTTGAGTGGTCGTTGAGCTGTTAAATCAAAATGCGTGCTGCGGTGCAAATGTTAAACATGAACGTTCAAGGACGATGTAACAAGATGTAACGCGGTTGTGACAGGTTCATGTCGCGTCGTGGTCACGTGCTCGTAAGTAAGGCACACTTGATGTAGTCACTTCATTCCAACTTCAGCTTCATCATTGAACCACGCGACGTCTTGAAAAGCAGCCACTGATTTTGACTCTGAAATGACGGATCCCACGCATAAGGGTTTGTCTATTCTCTCTGTGCTTCATAATAGAATGTAAACCATTGCTCAGGGCCAGCTCAAAGGTGCTACCTTGCTTCTCGATTCGTTATGAACACTCATCTTTCAGGATTCTGCTCGACAAACACCACCTGAATTACGTGTAAGTGAATTGATCATCTAGCACCCGCAGAGGAGGACTTCAGACTGTCATCAATACACTCTATTGAAAGTCTATTCGAGCATTTCGTGTGCATACGCGTGGTGGCTAGTCAATGGGTTCTCCACGCAGACTTCTATCAATATAAATCTGCCCTCGAAGCTTACCAAATGTCCGTGAAATTTTTGACAGATATCTTTTGACATGATCGTCCGACACAGCATCAAGCTGCTTCTGCCTTTCCGGACAAAACCATCTGAATGCAGCATCATATACCTCGCGCAATAATCCACTAAAGGCTGTTAAACTGCTGGAACAGGGCCGTGATTAGCTGTGGTCAAAAAGTACCGGAGATCACCTTGCTTGCAAGGTCATATGGTATGCGACGAAATGGTGACTAAAATCTGCAAATAGACTTTAGGCTTGTGGAAGTTCAAAATATGTGGCACTCAGAAAGTCTTCACACGAGTAGACTTGGAGAATAAAGTCTTAAGCTTCGAACAAAGTAACTTGTCGAACTAAAGTGTGGGTAAAAGATCAACTACAGAACTAGTAGACATTTGTGGGCTTGGCGCCGGAATACTAAGGACTAAGACGGTTGGATTCAGAGATATATCAGAAGGAATTATGTTGTGCATCATCGTCTAAGCGGCTTTTGACGAGCGTTACATCAGGCCACTACCTCGCTTGGCATCATCAACGACGATTTACGCACAATTCATGCATCGGGCTCTACTTATTTCTGAAGTCCTCTCGGAGATATTTGCGCATCTGAATGAAAATCGAATTGCTGGCAAGAAACCGTCATCCCTTGAGGCACTTGCCAGGACATGCAAGGCTTTCCACGAGCCTGCAATGGATCTACTTTGGGCTGTTTTGGATGGAGTAATACCACTGCTAGGCTGTGTAGCGAGGCTACATCGATTGATATATTCTAGCGGTTCAAAGGTCAGTCCGGACTTGTCGTGCTTATTCCTGTTTGCTAGCTCACTGAACCTCCAAAAGCGACTCACCTGGGACTGGTCTGAAGGTGTGGACCCATTATCTGCGCATGAAGCCCATCGTTTTCTGGAACACGCCGCCCGTGTGCGCTCACTATCTATATCATGCAGCGAGGATCTTCATCTTTTCGCACTCCTCCCCATAGAGACATGCATGTTCCCGAGACTGCTGTCACTAACCTTTTTAGTCCGACGTCTTCAACATAAATACTTGTATCTCTTTCTGTCCCCTGCCCTACGCCGTTGTGTCCTATCTGTCGTTACTCCAGAATTGAAATCTCTTGCAACCCGTTGTGCTGCCTTGGAGCACTTATCTGTCAAGACTCCTGAATGGGGACAGCAGCCAGTAGATGATCGAATCCTTCTATCTGACACTGTCCGTTTGTGCAAGCGGCTTGTAACTCTGTCCTGTCTACCTCTCGACTGGGCGGCATGGAAGCACCTCTCCGACCTCCCTAGCCTTCTCAAAGTGTCAGTCCGTGAACTGCGCAGTGCCTTTCGTTGGTCATTAAACAGGGACATCGTCAATTTCACGCACTTCCCCAACGTCACAACTCTTTCTTTTAATGTCAACACGGCTGCATACGCTATTACAGTCATGCAACACTCAGAATTCCCCTCGCTTAGAGAGTTTGAGGTGGTTACCGATGTTTTGCCTTGCGTAGAGGCTGAACAACTCTTTTCCGCGCTATCCCAGTGCAAAGCAGAGCAGACTCTTGGACATATTGCCATAACCTCCCTTTTTCCAAAAGTCTCGAAGCCCTCATGCGACTCTTTGGCCGCAGTCACACAGCTTCTTTGCTTCACCCACCTCCGCACTGTGCGGCTCAATCTGCACCACTGCATTGACATTGACAACGACCTTCTTTTGAAAGTTGTGTCAAGTTGGCCGCGCATCCGCTCGCTGGAATTAGTGGACTCGAAGATGCTACCCGCAGTTACATTACGCGGACTATTCGCAGCGCTCCGTCTATGTCCCTACTTGCATACATTGCGCACATTAGTGAACGCCGCGAATATCGATTTCGATCCTGCAGCCGAATCATTCCAACATACCACCCTGCAAACATTGGACTTGATCCAGTCTGATGTAACGGATGCTGAAGCTGTCGCTCACATCATCTTTTCCGTCCTCCCTTGCGTTGACCGAATTCGAACCCGGAAAGACCCTAGGCACGGTACAGTCTACCAGACAAGATGGGACGAGGTCAACAGGCATCTCAAAGATCTTAAATCTTCTGAGGTTGTTGGCGGCGATATCACAGGAACAGTCACGGAGTCCTGAGTGTGGGATGCTCCGAAACTGTTATCTGCCCAAAATGCGCTGTGTTTCAACGTTGCGCCGAAGTACATACATGACGATTGGCTCATGCGTTAAGTATAATTGTTGCCTAATAGACCTACTGTTTCGCCGCTACAGAATTGTGGCGGCAACAGCATCATGATGTGCGCAGTTAACTGCATCATCGGTTCAGCGACACTCGTTTTCCTATTTCCCAGAAGGGCCTCGACATCAGACGTTACGCGGAAGTCAATTGCCGGGTCGCAGAGATAAATACTGTACATACATGTTTCCTGCCAGGACCTGGTTTGGTGATGCGGGCACAGGCTGCTCGTCGTCTAACAGCCAGACATTTTAAATCCAGGAGTGGACATCGTCTACCATCGTCATCGAGACAGTTGAACGCCTCCGTACTCCACTCCACTGACTCTAATATTGCAATGTACCCAAAGTCTACACTTCCTTGAAGCACCGTCCGTACTCCTTAATGAACCGATCATAAGATAGTCATTAACATCAAAGCATCCACTCCCCATGTATTGCCTAATCAACATTTTTGACCAGGGCAATAATTAATCAGACCTAATAAATATCCTCCCATCTTTGGTCACCGCGTCGCCAAGTGTCCTTATTCTTCCGGTTCGTAGCAAGATGGTACGCAAACGTCCCAAGCTCATCACTGGACTTGAAGTTTTAGCTCTGGCAGGAATGTTCTCAAAGTCAACCTGGTAGCCCATCAAACGTGTCCTGCGCTTCTTGTTGGTGCTCTGGGAGAGCAACGCGTCCCGTACTTGGCTTAAAACTTTGGAAATCCTACGTGAAGATGTTTGCTTCATAGTTGGAGTCTCTTTCTGTGTGACGTTCTTGTTCCTCTTGCCGTTTGGGGCGGTGGCACTTGCTTTTTCGTCTTTAGTGACAGGTCTTGCGGGCCCAGGTTCCACCGTTTCGTCCACCACAATTTTCCTGCGCTTGTGAGAAGCGAGTGGGGACGAAGATGTGGGCGACGCCCGTCTTCTTTTGCGCGTCTCGGATGTCTCGTCAGGCACTTCTATAGCTTTGCCTTTACCCTTCCGAGAGCTCATGAAACTAGGTGCCTTCCAAGCCTCTGCATCATGTGAAGGGGCCCCGCTTGTTGGTTTTCCTGGAGGTGGGGAGGTTGTTCGGCGTGTAACGGAGGGTATGACTTCGGACTGGGATAGTGAAAGACTAGAACCGGAGAACAATGAATGCATAGACAAATTGGAGAGTTGTGGTGAAATATCTCTAGTAGGTTTGTGTCTATCCAATGGATCTTCGGGTGCTTGTGATGGTGTGGTGTGCACAGCAGCGGGAATCTCGACACCATCGACCGCGTCAACATCCATCGTATCAAGATCTTTAACCGTTAATCGTTGGAGGACTTGGTGCACATCCGGATTGGTGTCGGATGGTTGATGATCGCCATGGCCAAGTTTTTCATGGACGTCCCAGTTGGCGACACCCGGAGAAGAAGCACGATCACCACCGCAATAGCTCTCGAGTTGGTCACCTGGAAGCATCAGCAAAGCTCCACGATCTGTGCCTGAGATGCCCTGTTTGACGGCAGCGGGTGTCGACGTTGGTCCTGGCTTGAATTCTTGCGTCAGCTGGGACGGAAACGGGGGTCGATGTGACTGGGATTGGGAGAGTAGTTGTGACGGAGGTTCCGACTGTGGTTGAGATTGAGACTGAGATTGAGTTCCCGAAGTATCAGAATTGGGGACGAGAATCTGAGTTGGACCTGAGTGATCAGCTGGTAACGGCGGCACACCAGGGCGAGGAACTCTTCGTTTTATGTTTCTAAGAAGGTGCATAGGAAATGTAGAAGGTGGTGGAGGTACAGGGGACGAATCTGAAGGGGATGAAAGAAGAATTGACCGTCTGATGCGTTGCGCAGGTGTGGGTGGGCGCAGGGGCGAAGTAGTAAGGGGTGTAGATGGTTCGTGAGATGGTCCATGTTCCTCTACCGAAGCTTCTGCATTTGCACGGTCATTTAGAGGATCTTCGTTTGTGTCGTGAGCTGGAGATGCCAGGACTCCAGTAGGGCTTCCGGGAGCAGATGAAGGCCATTCTGAGGATCTGGGTGTGGTCTGCTCATTTATGTCTTGATCAGGTGTACGTGTGCGTGTGCGCGGCGGGGTACAGGGTCGAGATCTTGCGACTGTATTTCGTTTGTCTTCAAGTTCCTGCTGATACACTTTAATTGCGATAAAAGGCTTACCAGCGATCACAGTATCAGGAGGTACACACTCTCCGACAGGCAAGTGGTCCATTTGAGGTTGTTCTACGCGTAAATAAAGCGTATGATAGATGTATTAAGCTGCAGACGTACCACCAGCGAGCGTTTGCACCTTGTCATCAACGCGAGGCTTCACTGTAGCCGTCCAGATGTCTTTCTCGGCATGCTAATAGACAGTGGTTTAACGAACAAATTCTCACGAATTCTTCAGACTTACTGTCCAGCGCTTGCGATATTCCCTCATGTGATCGATCTTTTGGATAGGACGTTCTGGCGCGATATGAGGTGGATTGTGTTCTTGTTCTCGAGCCTCAAGCATGGGATGTGCCTCTACATGGTTGGTGACTGGAGAGATTTCCTGAAGTTGCAAATCTGCTTCGTTCTGTTGAGCACGCTTTAAAACGTCCCTATTATACTTCAAAAAGTATTCGTGCAAAGGTTTAATGATACTCACCCACCATCGCCACCTCTTCTGAGTCCGCGGACCCATGCCTTCACTCGAGAGTTCATTTCAACGCCCTGCGGGGAGCCGAAAACGCCTGTTCCAGAGCCAACAAACTTAACAACACCAGCTTCTAGGGCTATATGAGGTTCCTCGCTCAAATTCGAACGATTGTTGCCGACGGGAATTCGTACAAAGATGGGGCGAAATTGCCCTATAAAAAAGATGGCATGTTTTGCTTCTGTGAGCCTTCGACCTTGCAAATCCCTGCAGCAATACATCAAATAGAAGTTGACAAGAGCCAAGCATGAAACTCACTTCATATATTGCAACACGGCGTCTTTAGTGAAACAAACTGGAATACTGTATTCCTTGTCGGACACTCTCCCCCATATTGCTGCGTCTGTGTTGTATGTTAAAAACTGCAGCAGTCAGTATTGAGCGTACAAAATGAACATAAATACGTACTTCGAGTACTTGAACTCTCTTCTTCTTGCTAGGTGAAATGTTGTCGAGAGGGACATCAGCAAATGACTTTCCATAAGTTTCGGCGACTTTGATGATATACTGCGATATCCATTGCATAGGAATGGACTCGGACATTACGACGCGAAAGGTGTCGGTGTCCTAGACTCCTAGGGGAAATTGACTGAACAAACAAAACGCGGTATGTCACGCGTGTTGTCACCGAATTTTGTCACGACCACAGTCACATGGCCATAGTAATCTCATACTACTTCATGCCAGTGAATCATGATGTATAGTCTGTATCCATTACGGTTGCCAAATCAGTAGTAGTGGGACGTGATATAAATGCAACCCTTCGCGATGAAGACTCCGTGAGCTCTCGCACGTTGTGACACGCCCTGGCAATGTCTGGTTTTCACTGGGACTTATCTCTGGGCCCCTCGGCATTTCAGATCGGCATGCTCAGAGTTGCTGTCAGATAAATGTAATAACAACAATTTGATCAATCTAGAACTGTATACTTCCTCAGACTTTCTGGTATAGCATCTCCTAACCCCTTCGACTCTAGCCACTTCTTGGAGAACAAACGGCTCTGGTATCGATGTGCACCATCGCACAGTACAGTTACAACTTTGGAACCTGATAGGTAGAATTGAGCTTTAACATAGACGATAAAATGTAGTTGACCTCTGTACTTACCCTTGCCTAGCTTTTGAGCAAGTTCCACAGCTGCAACGGCATTCAGAGCCGACGAAGCACCTATGTACAAGCCTTCACTGTCAAGCAGTTGGTACACCATGGATATCGACTTCTCGTCTGGTATGTGCAGAGCTCCCGACAGATCGTTGACAAAAGTGCCCAGGTTATTTGTGACACGACCTTGACCAATACCTGTGTAGTTTCATAATAGAATGTTCAGCCATGAGTACTCTAGATGGAAAAGTCTAACCTTCTGTGATGGAACTTCCGCCACGCTCGATGAGTTGTCCACCGCTAGAGATATATTTGTATAATACACTGCCAGGCGGATCGGCGAGCCATATCTGTGTCTTTGGGTTCTTTTCCTTCAGGTACTTGCCAACTCCAGCCAGAGTGCCACCAGTGCCAGTTGAGCATATAAAACCGTCAATGTCACCCTTCGTCTGTTCCCATATTTCGGGTCCAGTAGAGATATAGTGCGCGTATGCATTGGCAGTATTGTCGAATTGGTCTGTCCATATGGCATTCTCCAGCTTTTCAGCATACTCCTTCGCCTGGTGGTTATAGTTCAATGGGTTCTCGTAGGGAACTGCAGGTACTGCGTGCACTTCGGCGCCGAGCATGCGGAGAAGGTCAATCTTCTCTTGGCTCTGAGTCCAAAGCATCAACGAAGGAGACAGCAGCTAGGTGATTGGCTTTACTTCACCTGAGTGTCAGGCATAAATATAACACACTTGTAACCCTTGGCTCTACAGACATGGGCAAGACCGATACCAGTGTTGCCTGCTGTACCCTCGACAACGGTTCCACCGGGTTTTATGCTGCGTACATCGTTGAAGTCAATACTTATTACGACATGTGCTACTGCCACTCACCGACCTTTCTCCTCCGCATCCAGAACTATGCCAACAGCAGCACGGTCTTTAATGCTGCCTCCAGGATTTTGGAATTCAGCCTTTCCATATATCTTGCTTCCCGTCTGCTCCGAGAGCGTCTTAAGATAGATCTGACCATGGTGTTAAAGGGATTCCACTGTCATCGCGCGGTGACCTCCTCACCAATGGTGTATTTCCCACTGCACCGGTAAAACCGTCAACAGCAATGTTGCTCGTCGCAAATCTTCTAGTTTGTTGTATCATAGTCCGTCGTAAAGCCAATAACATGATGAGTCAAAGAGAAAGACAATGATGCAAATGAAGTGGAACACACTAGTCATACATACTCCACGCAGGCTTGAAGCGAGCACGCCATTCAGAGGTCATCCTAGTCATGTGTCCCTGACATCCTGAGTATTAAATAGTGAGACTTGACAAGTGAATCCAATTATATGCGGGTTATCGATATCCTCATTGCTCGCTATGCCCATATGGCGAATTATACGGTAATCATGTATGAAGAGGAATGTTTCGTCACATCAAAAGAGCAAAACTATCCATTAAGATGCAGAGGTAAAGACACCTGAAGAACAGAGAAGCGCTCAAATGAATCTAGAACCGAGCAAGAAAAAAGGGCTGGGCTGAATGAAGAGGACAAGCTCAGACATAGAATAGGTAGTATGTCATACATGCAGAGTCGTGCAGGCCATAATAGAGAGCATAATGTGGATGTCAACGAGACGAAGACAGACTTGGATCGAAGTAGGGCGGTATGGACGGGGGTATCAAGGTCTTGCGTATCTGCTGCATCGTTCATGGCTGGCGTTTCTTCACGTTCTGATTCAGCCATTGAAGACCTTCGAACAATCCTTCACCCGTCGTGGCACAACTGCGGCACATGGAGTAAGCAACGTTTTCCTGGAGTATATGGAATGCTGACCTTGGGTGAACATACCAAGAGCGATCCCTCATGCGGTGGAGGCCCAATTTTTCTGTCACCTCGGCAGGTGACATAGCTAGAAAACAAATGAGTCTTTACCCAAAAGTATAGAAATGACTCGCTGTACCTCCGGGAAGATCCTGTTTGTTCGAAAACACGAGCAATAGACATTCCTTCATCTCTCTATCACTCAGTATACGATGCAATTCCTGCTTTGCTTCATCGATTCTCTCTCGGTCTTGGCTGTCGACGACGAATACAAGCCCTTGAGTGCCTGTGTAATAATGTCTCCACAGCGGTCGGATCTTGTCCTGGCCTCCAACATCCCAGACATTGAACTTCACATTCTTGTAGGTGACAGTCTCCACATTGAAACCGACTAAACGCCCACCATGAGTTTTCGAGTTGACCCATATTATGCGGGTACTTACCTGTAGGTATGGTGGTCACGGACTGGTTCAATTTGAGTTTGTAAAGAATAGCTGCGGCCCAATGTTCAACACGGCAAGAGAACAACAAAGTGAGCTTACTTGTTTTCCCCGCAGCGTCAAGGCCAAGCATCAACAACCTCATCTCCTTGTTGCCGAACAATCTGCCTGTTAGACATGCCGTTCAGTGAAATTACACACGATAGACATCATTTTGACCACGCCGAGGCCAAAACACTTACCGAGTGCCTTTGACAAGTTAGCTCCCATGATGATATATAGATTCGAAGGTAAAGAGCGACAGAGGCGGATTTAGTGCCACAAGCAATGGTATTGAAAGACTGAAAGCAGGCAAAGCAGGAAAAGGAACGCTTGAGGTAAACACACGCCATTTCAGACCCCGAACACCTCCTTGCCTTGTATATTACGCTTCGAGTGATGGAATGAAAAACCGCTTCTGATACACACTATATTTCTAGTTTCATTCGTGCTTCCTGACCGGAAATGTGAAAGAACTTAAAAATAAGGATCAAGTGGCGATAGGACCACGGCCAGTGTAACGATATTATCAATAGTACAGTATTAATGTAAGAGTCCAGACTGATGGATGCATACAAGATGGGTATATCCTACTAAATTACCAGCATGATAAGAAATCTAACCCGCAGCAACTCCTGGTGATGGCGTCTGACTCTGGCTGAACACCTTTAGCCACCCATCTCCCATGTCAGAACGCAGGGCTTGCATCCGCGCTCGATAGAGCTCTGCATCTCGTATCTGACTCTGACTCTGACCCTCGTCTGGTGGATCAAATACCATACCCGCTCTTCGGTGGCCCGATTTACCATTCGTTGAATGTGGATATGGTATACAAACAGTCGCAGATGGTGAGCGCGGCGAGCTCGCGGGGTCAACAGAGATCCCTGGCGGTACTACAGTACCTCCTTTATTCGAGGAATAAGGTGGACCATCTAAAGCACCGTAACATAAGTCTGGCGAATGGTGAATATCTAAAGAAGCGCCTCACCCATTCCATCCACGGGGGCCAGGTCGACGATGCGCTTGATCTTCCGTTTTCTCTTCCCTGCAACAGCACCTGTTAGCACAGGAGAACCACAAGACGGAGACGAGGGTCCAGATAGCGGAGTGCCCATGACATCATGCATCCCTGTCGAAGAGGGTGCCATCGCCTTCGGACTGCCTACTGGTACGACAGGTGGGGAGGGGAGAGTCTCGACCGTGTTTACTGATAACGGCTGGTCAGACAGTGATGCGCTGAGACTGCGTTTCTCATAAAACCCTGGTGATGCTCCATCGAGCTTGATGCTCTTGTCCTCCTTCAGGAAAAGATCAAAGCATGCGGTGCGATAGTTGTCCTCGTACTCGGTGAGCGGATTTCCTTCAATCCATACCTCCATGATGTTAGGTAATGTAGCCAATCGCCCAATCTCAGCGCTCTCCTCTATATGGTTTGAGCGCAAGTCGACGCGCTCTAGCGCCATTAGACGCTCTAAGCCACAAATAGATTCAAGCCGGTTGCGAGAGAGATTGATGTTGAGAACTTGGCCAAGGTGCGTGTAGATCCCGAGGACTGAATCAATCATGTTATCGGAGAGGTTGAGGGAGACGAGGTTGTGGAGAGTAGCGAGACCATGCGGCACAGACACGAGGAGGTTAGACGATAGGTCAAGATAGCTAAGCGAGGTGAGGTATGGTAACGGGTCGGTGGGAAGAAAAGTTAGAGCATTATCTGCCAGCGACAAGTGCTTCAATAATGACCATTTATAGGGCGAGAGGGGAGCGGCAGGTGAAGGCACGGGAGGTGTTAAATCGTCTTCATCATCTTCGGGAACAGATTCAGGTAGGCGAGTACTCTGGAAAGAGCGTTGTGAACGAGGTATGCGTCTACTTCTCGAGTCGCTCGTAGTACCATCTCTCCGAGCCTGGTCATCCAACACGGCACCAATAAAGATATCTGTGACGTCCTCCAGGCCACTGCGCTGGACTGTTAAACTCCGCAGACTTTCCGCCAGCCTATCCCACCCAAGTAATGTTCGTGGGTCTATGTCGATGCACTCCAAGGTCTGAATATTCTTAAATGCATCCAGTGGGAGTGCATTCTGATTGGGTGGTTCATCTGCGAGCTCGGCGATGACTTTCGGGCCCGGTGCCCTAATGGATAGAGCAGGGAGCTTTGTAAAAGAGCTGTAAATATACTTGAGCTCCGCGTCTATGGTTTGCGGCTCCTGTCTTCCCCACCACCCTACTCCAAGTGACAAACCAGATACGGCTGAAAGGGATGAGCGAAATGACGCAAGAGACAGCGTGTCGGAATTGTCAGAATCAAGGTACAAATCGATGTGCGTATAATGCATCGGCTTTGAGGGATTGTCGACCCTCACATCTAATGTGCCAACATCAATTCCAAGTGCCTCTAAACGCATAAGGATGTAAAACAGCCTGTGCGTGTCGATAGTAAACGTGACAGGTTTCGGAGGAACAGGTGATGGCGCTTGTGAATCGTAAGAAAACCAACCAGCGAGATTGAAGACAGAGGTGTTATTGGCAGAGTGCCGAGGCTGTATGCGCCTTCGTCGGACGAAGCCAGCTTCTGCTAGTCCCATCTCATTGTTTCTGATGAATGTCGAGATTCTGCGCAGATAATCATCACCTGGCTGTGGTTCCATGATGACTACAGTGAGTAGAAAGATAGGCCTTACGACCAGCAGGCAGGCAGCAAGCAAGGGAATTGTACCGGAAGCCTATTTGAGTAGGACCCCGTGTACTGCATTTGTGATATAACGTCGTGACAACACATCATCACAAAGCGTGACAAGATAGTAAAACGCGTCAGTCTGCTCTTGAAGCTCAGATCACCATCGGTAAGACATCGACAAGCTCAAAGACCGAAATTCGATTGTAGCCGTATCAGATTATTAATTTTCCATCATGAAGTTAACGATAAAGACGCTCCAGCAGAAGATATTCCAGGTGCGTAACGTCACCTGTTGTCTTTAACAATCCCTTATGCGAGTAAAAGCTCGAAGCCGAGGGGTCAGAAACCATCGCAGATCTGAAGCAGAAGATATCCAACACACAGGGACACCCTGTAGAAAGCCAAAAGCTCATATTTTCTGGTACAACTTTACCGTCATTTCGCAGCATCACAGTATTCATCCAGCAACACAGGCAAGATTCTTACAGATGACAAGACGGTTGCGTCGTGCGAGATCAAGGAAAAGGACTTTTTGGTATTGATGGTTTCAAAGGTTTGCAGTGGTTTCCACCTGCCTCAGATTCCAAGTTTACCTCGATCGTCAGTCTAAACCTACGCCAGCTCAACCTCCCCCGGTAATTGCCTCGGCATCAACATCGACGCCACAGCCAGAGACTACCGCACCCGCCCCGGCAGCACCTCAAGTTCTAGCATCAGCACCAGCAGCACCAGCACCAGCACCTGTCGCGCCATCTGCCCCTTCTGCTGCCCCCGCAGTAACGGCTGACGGCAGCTTTTTGACTGGAGAAGCACTCCAGTTGACAATCAGTAATATGGTTGAGATGGGCTTCGAACGTGAACAAGTCATTCGTGCGCTGAGAGCCAGTTTTAACAACCCTGATCGTGCTGTCGAATACTTGATGACGGTAGTTCAATACCACACATTTTGTTTGTCTGATACTTATTTAAACTACAGGGCATTCCTGCGCATCTCATGCATGAAGCAGCAGGTCCCGCCGCGCCACCAGCGCAGACGGGAGGTGTAGCACCCACTACTCCTGCCGCACCTGCACCCGCCGCACCCACAGCCCAGCCTGCCCCAGTTGCCCCAACTGGTCAACCCCAGAATTTGTTTCAAGTTAGTACCCTGATTAATTTTTTTAATTGGACTTTAATCCACGCAAGCGTAGCTTGCGCAACAACAGCAGCAGCAGCAACCTGGTGGCAGAGGTACGGCAACTGCCGGTGTGGGAGCTGGAGCTGGTGAAATTGATCTAGAGGCCCTTCGAAACCACCCCCAAGTTCAGCAATTGCGTCAGCTGGTCCAAACTAACCCAAATCTGCTTGCGCCATTAGTTCAGCAAATTATGGAGCAAAATCCACACCTTGGACAACTATTGGAAAGTAACCCGGAAGCATTAATGCATTTGCTTAATGGGGGTGACGATGCTGAAGGCGATGGTGTTGTGCCACCCGGCGCACAAGTAATACATATTACGCCGGAGGAGCAGGCTGCGATTGGTCGTGTAAGTTCGTCCACACGCATTCTGAACTTGCGCTTATTATACGTGGTTATAGTTGGAGGCTTTGGGTTTCTCGCGCCAGAAAGCTGCTGAAGCATATCTGGCGTGCGATAAGAATGAGGAACTTGCAGCCAATTACTTGTTTGAGACAGGTTTTGATGATGATGAGGACTAATGATGGACTGTAACGTGTTTGTGAAGTTCTTTGCATTGTTATGGTTCATGTAGTAATTCAAGGCTGATTTAAGCTGGATGGAGTTGTGACCCTGCATCAAAATGACCTATTTATTGTTGAAGGAGTGCTTCAGCTCGCGGGGTGATCAGAGAATAGGCGTTTCTGGTATAACCGAAGTACCTTAGCCCTGCCTATTAAGCTTCAGTGTGTCCAAGTCAACCCGCGGAGTCATAATGCAAACATTGTACTATAGACAGCGTGTATTTTACCGCGTGTGAACGTTGTGAATTTGGATAACGTACGAGCAAGACAGTATCCGCATGTTGTTGTGGTGTGTTGCTTGGCCGCCTTCTCGTCCTTCATCCATCCTCTCTTTCCTTTTCCCCCAGCATACCCAAAGCTTTTCCAATACCGCAAGCATCATTACTGTCATTCGGTTTGAAAAGTTACCAACTATTTTTACAGCTTGTTCTAGCTTTCCATCCCATGGCATCTCAAGACTCGCCACCAGCGGACGACAAGGACGTTCAGACGCGCGAGCAGGCGTCTCAAACGCCAGCCATCGGGAATGGCTCTACAGGCGTAGACACTAGTGCGCAAGCGCACGGGCAGTCACCTACATCGTCTTCGGAAGCGGACAAGGATGTTAACCCAAACCCTTCTAACACCGTTTCCACCTTCGTTTCACCAGCCGAACGCGAAACCGTGAAGCCTAGTGAAAAGGAGAAAGACAAGGACAAGGGTTCATTAGCTACATCCCAGACCCATCCTAATACAACTTCTACAAGCGCTACGTCTAGCACCGCTCGTCGATTTTCTAGGAAGGTCAAACCTGCGTCAAAAACCACTAAATCTTCAACTGCTTCGTCTAGCTCTGCACGCGAGAAGACTACTTCCAATAATCATTCTAGAGACGAGAACAGGTCTGTCAGAGGTTCTCAGAAGAAGGAATCATTCATCGTCAAACTCGTGCGCAAGCTTGTGCCATGTGTTGCTCCCAGCGATCGTACACATGCGATTGAAGTTGATGTCGACGACGCCACGCAACACAAGGCCATTGGCACTGCTAATGGTGCCTCAGCGCCCGTAGTCGATACCAGTGCGCCCACCGAAAAACAGGTTGAAGTCAAGGAACAGGAACGGGAAAAGCCAAATCTTGTGGTAGAGGTATCCCCTCCTGCAGCAGAAACCGACCCTGCAGAAATCGAGGTTATTGTGCCCCCTACGCCAACCAAGGCTCTCCTCCCAATATCTGAAACAGAGGGGATGACCAGCGGAGCAGTCCAACCTCCAGGATCGACTGGTGCAGACATTCCCCCTCCCTCACTATCAACTCCTGTAGATGTATTACAAACGCCATCTGCAGGCACCACCCCACACGCTGGAGACACCTCGCATACAGCAACCGATTCAGAAGGGAGTTTCACTGACGAAGAGGGTCACGGAGAACCGGAAGAGCCCGAGGTAGAAGAAGGGGAACCGATGGAGGAAGACGATGAAGATGCTCTGATCCTTAATGGAGGTGCAGGTATTCCGATAGGGCCTGTGAGTTTTTTAATACCTCTTGATGACGCTAAAACTGATTCGGTTTCAAAATAAGGATGGCGAATTGCGCCCGCTCCTGCCACCAATAGCGCCTCACCACGTGGGGCGCAAGTGTCTCGTTCTCGACTTGGACGAGACCCTTGTACACAGCAGCTTTAAGGTGGACTTTTCGGTGTCTCCATCTAGTGGTGCTTCTGACACGTTTTTTGGCCGCTCTACAGTCCATTCAACACGCGGATTACGTTGTTCCTGTGGAAATTGAATACCATTGGCACAATGTGTACGTGATCAAGCGCCCGGGGGTCGACAATTTTCTGAAGAAGATGGGCGAAATTTACGAGGTGGTGGTCTTCACTGCTAGCTTAAGCAAGGTTCGAAGGGTTTATTTTTATCTCCTTGATATTGTCGACTGATTTTTATCGTGTGCAGTATGCAGACCCAGTCTTAGATAAGCTGGACATTCATCAAGTAGTGTCGCATCGACTATTCAGAGAGAGTTGCTATAATCACAAGGGGAATTACGTCAAGGTAATGGAAGCATCTTCCTGTTCGTTTTGTTGCTAACTTGCTCTATGTAGGATCTCTCCCAATTGGGCCGTCCTATTGCAGATACCATCATCCTGGACAACTCTCCAGCATCATACATTTTTCACCCCAACAATGCGGTCCCTGTCTCATCGTGGTTCAATGACCCACATGACACAGAACTCACCGATCTTTGTCCCTTCCTTTCGGACCTTGCCGAAGTGAGAGATGTTCGGGGCGTCCTGGATGGCGGTCTGTAGGTGTAGTGGGTATATGGGATACGAGGAAGAGGAATATTACAGAAGAGCAGTAGGCTCGCGAGCACAAATTCTCTTGAGTGTTGTGATGCTGGTCGGGCTCTTCTGTTTTTTTTATAGGTCAATGCAATGCACGTTGTGCACCACCCCAAGTTCTATCGCATCCTTGCTCTACGTCTCGATGGCGCCTTTGGCCGATTATGCGATCTTTTCTCTTTCCGCATTGCTCTTATCATGTCTCCCTTCACCCATCCTGCATCTGTTACGATTTCCCATGCCCGATATACCCTACATATCTAACATGACTCTCAACGCCCAAGTGTATTGGCAAAACTTTGATGATGATACCCTTTGTCTTCCATCCCACTCCACGTATGTTCTTGCATCGAAACTCTTCCACGTAATCGCTTCTGTGTTACAATTTGACATTATTGCCCCGTTCTATTATTTTTTGCTCTGTGGCTGGTTTCATATGAAGTAGCTACTCTGGCATTTTCCTCGCACACTCTTCCCTGTCTTCCTCCGTAGTATGGTCGCATGCCTTCATGGTGCGTTTCTTTGTTCATTTCAGCTCTCGACCAAGTATCTGACCATCTCCAGGCAGTTTTTCTCCCATTCATGGATGCATTCATACACGTCGATCGTCACTGGCAATCTCCATCTTGCGACTAAAAGTATCGCGATACATACACCTCATTTTTTACTCGCGTCGCTGTAGCTTAGCATTTTCCTTGTTTTATTGAATGATTATTTCACTCGGCGACGCACCACTTTCCTTCCTTCTCTTTCTTTTTCCCTTAAGCTTTCTTTCTATCTTCCTTACACACAAAAGCACGAAATCCTGACGAACTTCTATGATGATGTTACATATTCACGATTATATATTATATTTCACCCGCTCTGTTGAAATCGTGGGACGCGACTGGTTTTCATCACGTGAGCACTCGCGACGCGGTTGTCTATATAATTAATGATCACGCAGCGTGAATCACAATCGACCAATGAATATTTGAATGTTGATGCTGTGATTATAGATGAACGTTTTTTAACTGGTTATAGACTTGCAGGTATGTAAGGTCGTTTGCCAGATGCATGTTTCACAACTTCAGTGCACCATCAGGCTCGGTGGTCATCCTCTCCTTGCCAACTTTGACCATGCACCCCTCCTCCAGTGCAAATACTGATCGCCATCGCATAGCCACCTGCCAGCGATCAAAATGTCCGGCCGGACTCGTACTGTGGAGGCGAGCACGAGGAATAGATGGGTAACTTATATCATTAGTAGTTTTATATCGATTCATCCTCATCAAACATTCGCATCTAAAATGACTAAGGTAAGCCTCATGCTGGGGCATTTGTGAACCTAAGGCTAGATAGTGTTGGCCGACATAGGGGCGGAGTACTTCAATGGATGTGAATTGAAAAAGATCAGATCTGACTCGCAGGCCGTTAGTGACTGTTGTAATCAGTAACGATTAATGGTTGCTCTTAGTCTAGAGACTTCCTGGACTCCGGAGGGTGAGAATGTATGTGAGAATCCATGGAGACAGAATAAAGGGAACCACGTGCACTAGCAACATCATGGGGCTTTACTTTCGAACCAGCTGTCATTGAAACCTTCAACCTATCCAAGCCCGTTCCAGAAAACACTTAGGATAAGAAACGAACGATGGGAGGAAAAGTGTGAAATATGCATGCAAACAAAAATGATGGAAATGCTAAGGTTCATAGAATAATGATTCTTTGCAGTAAGCAAGAAGGGTGTTACAGTGGAGTTAGAAGCTTGATATAGAGAAATTCGCAATGAAACGACGACAGGCTGGTATCATAGGAAAGAAACAATTCACGGTCTGGGCTTTCTCCAATCCACATTTGAAACGTACGTCGACGATCCAACAGGGTCGCGGCGCAAGATTTTATCTGTTTTAGCACTGGTCTTTTCATCCCACAGTTTTTGCCACATTTCTGTCTCTGTTTCGCGCTGGAGAGCTCTAATAAATTTTAAGAGTGATGTTCACTGCAGAAAAATCAAATTTAACCTACCACAACAGCAGGTCTCGTGAGATTCCGACGTGCCACCGTGGTTTAAGAAATATCGGTGAATTGTAATCTGTCGAAATCCGTACTGTATTGTGGCGAGGGGATGGAGTAACTATCACGGTATAGGTAAGTGATAGCGTTATAACATATACAACACAAAGCTCACCCCTACAAGTAAATCGACCACAAGTGAATCAATCTGATAAAACGCTGGGAACAAGTCGGATATTCTGCAATGCTCGGAGTGCCAGGAAACATACTCCCTTATGGCGCTCGTCGACTTAAAGAGCGTCTGGCGAGGTGGTATCAGTAATATAGCGACTAAGCAAGACGCAGCACGTGCCTTATGGTTCGGCGGCCAAATAAGCTGGTACAGGACACATCCGAACGCCCACCAGTCTACGGGCGTCCCATACCTTATAGAATATGTATTTTTCTTGTTGGGCAGGATGTCTGGCACCATACAATGGGTAGTTCCCTTGAAGCTTGACGAATAATCCCATGATGGATTGAGGAGTTGCGGGTCGTCGTATAAATGAGCCCGAAATCAGCAATACGCACGTTCTGTCGCATATTGACTAGAACGTATTCTGCTTTTATATCACGATGGGTAAAGCGTTGATGCCACGTGCCTTCAAGGTCGGAGTGGTGAGACATCGAAAAACTAAGGACTAAACCTACTTACTAGTTGCGCGCTCCACCTGCGAGCATTCTGGACGCAGTATGCATATCCCTTCAACATATGATGCGATAAATCATATGCCATCAAGTCCTGAAGAATCGAAAAAAATTGAAACAGCTCAAATAGCGCATAGGGGAGAAGCGCGTACCATAACCAAACAAACGTTTTTCTTCGTCTGAAACGACATTTCTAATTCCATAAGGAACATCGTTGCAGGACAAAACTCCCTCGAGCATACAAGACGCTTGTATACCTCCAACTCCATTCGAAGACTTTCGTCCATCTCCTGAAGCCGGTTCTTCCTAAAAACCTTGAGACACACCAAGCGGCCCGATGCTATGTCTTCAGCTGCTATAGCTGTGGCAAAACCTTCCACTGACAAGCGGCGCCAAGCACGAAAGGGACCTTTCACGTATGACAGTTGAGGGAGTCGCGGGGTGGAAACCTCTGATCTGCCTGGAGGATTGGCCAGCTCGAAGTGAGAAGGGTGCAGAGAGTCAGGGTGATTTGAAGTCGGTTCTGCTGTGTTAGTATCCTCTGCGATCTTAGAGATGGGAGGGATGGGGATGGGGAGATGCGTGATGTCGGGCACGTCGGGCAGAGCACTCGATGATTGGGGTACTGATAGAGATGAAGGAGTAATCGAATTCAGAGCAGCCTTTAGGCCTAGACAGCGTCGATCACCAGAAAGCATAGTGATGACTAGTGATGAGGAGAAGGAGGAAATGATGAGAAGAAGGGAATGAGTAGACGTACTACTTAAATAGTTCCTGATAGGACCACAACGCTTCTTCAAATAATAAGCTGTGCGTGCCAACTTCTGATTGTCTGGAAGCAACCACAGCGTAAGGTGCGGTGGTCAGATCGTGCCACCGGTGTCGATTACGAGGGTGACTGGCACAAGGGGGGAACTTGTGGAAGGGTACAATGATCAAAGCATGTTGCTACCATAGTTGATGCCAATTATCGGCACGCGACTGGATAATTCAGTACCCCAACTAAGTATCAGCGCATTGTGACAGTAAATTGGCACACATCACCAGCTGCAAAGACCTAAGCGGATGGTATCATTATCCTTTATCCTTGTTGAACTATAAACAAAGGTTGAAACGCCCTTCAACTTTGAGAATGAGTATTAATTTGCTTGTGGCTGTTACCATGCTGATACTTTACCTGTTTCTCAGGCAAAGGCAATGATAAGAACAAAGGATGACGAGGAGAAACCTTACGCTTACTGGTGCCACTAGGTGACTAGCACGCTAGCCACCATCGATTTACCGCGCGACATCAAAATTCAACGGTGCGTTTGCTATTCCACCGACTCCCTGCGGTTTCAATACAGCTCGAAGTAGTGAGCAACTTATGTTAAGCAGAAAGTTGCTTCGCGTTGATCAGGGTGGTGTAACCACATATTCGAGCGACTTTCGACAGCATGACGGAATGATGGCGTTGAAAAGACAAAGAATCAACCGGGACATGATAAATTGCGTGATGTATTCAAGATGGTCAATGGATGATTGATAATTTGATATGCAAAACGCACTTGTGGCTGCAAGTTGATAAGTTCTATATAGATCACCTGACATCAGACAGCACCAGCGCGTAAATAAAGACGGTTTTCACGAAGTCGTAAGACTGGGAAGTGCACTATCACCCTCTATATCAACGACAAGTTCAATCGATCATGACGTGCATTTGTGTACGGTATAGACGATCGCATCGACTTGGTACCGAGAGTATATCAATTAACGTGTCATTAGTGCGACTCCGAGGTATATATAACGACAATAGTACTAGTGATAGCAATCTGAGTTCGACATACCTCTAGTTACCCATATCCCGTAGTCCTTTATGAAGCATAGTATATGATGCGGGAAAGACGGGCAGTAATACTGTCATCTGACAGCTGAGATCGTGCCAGGGAATCATGTGATCGTCATTCGAGGCGTCAGTTCCAACGAGCCACTATCATAATACCTCCATGGTTCGTCATCCTCTCGAATCTCGTCGACACGAGAATACGTAGACATGCGTGCTCTCCTCCGCCGCCACCAGAAACTACATGTGATCACTGAGTCATCACGTTCAGGTAGCTGTATGATTACTCACATAAAACCGACAACCCCTGCAATACCCACTACGATGGCAACAATAATCCCTGCCAGTGAGCTCTTATTGACTTCTAACCATTGTTCAACTTTCTGCAGACCGCCCGGATCAGGGTCCACGAATGCAAATTGTCTGCTTGGGAGTTCTGATTTGCTTGGAAGATTGTTTGGATCGTAGCAATACTGGGCAAAACATTGCGAGCAGAAATCGGATCGTAGAGTAACTGCGCGATCGATTGCAGCACATTGCAAGCATTGTCCCCAATACGGATCCGGAGAAGTTGTGTTTGGTTCGAAGCCACCCAAGGTATTCGAGAACGCTTGGTTTATGAACACGGCCGTGAACTTGGATGTGTAGGAGAATTGTGTATCACCAGTGCTACAAAATGATATTGGCATTATCTTTGAATGATGCAAGACACGCGACGTACTTCGTGGCTGGCGCGCTACCATCTAGCGGAGGCGCATTAGGAAGATATATGATGACGGGGTAAGCTGGTTGGCCCTGAGTGAGATTACAGCCAAAAAATGTTGGGCGCATATTGACGCCTGTGGAAACAAACTGGGCAGCAGTTGAAGGTATGGGCGGCATCGGCTGATGCGAAGACGAGAGTATTGATGATATCCGCTCGAAAGTAGTTAGCAGTGATGTACCGCTGGCAGGAGTTAGTACTTACTTATCGTAGATTGTTGATGAGTACTCACTTTGGCCAATAGTTTGAATCATCCGCACTACCATCAATGACAACTACTACATCCAGTCCTCTAGCATTAACAAGCAGGCTGCTGAGGGGAATTTTCTCGTAGTTTGAACCTCCGTCAAGGAGTTCGAGCTGGTCTGCAGACGAGTCTTGAAAAGTCCCGGGATTGATACCTTTGAATGGCTGTAGACACGGTCAGGTGAGTGCTGTGAATCGAAATGATAATACGAACGTTGGGCCAGTTGGCCGCATTCATGACATTGGACGGTGTATGCGACACCAACTGGTCAAAAATAAAGTTCATGCCGGCTTCATCTCCATCAGAGGTATCGAACCCAAAATTGCCGTCGGTAACATTCAAGACTGCCTGCAACAGTAAGTCAGGTCGAGACTAGAGTAATTCACAGGTATAAGATGACATACGTTAAAGAAACTGGAACTTGTACCCATAACAAAGCTCGCCTGATCAAAACCAGTGACGCAAGCTGATGGGTTAGCCGGCAGACCGTCTGCCAAATAAGTCCCAGCAAACTTCAGCGGTAGCATTGCTGAAAGACTTGGATCCCACGACCCAAATTCAAAAGGTGTAATCTACACCATTCATTTCTAGATGCGTTTCTGCGCTTAAAGCTTAAATACTGACCTCATAAACAGTTGAATTCAGAGGCACAGCCGTCGTCGACCCTGAGCCTGCTTCGCGCGAGTCAGCGGCTACTATCGGTAATGGTATTGTGTAATTTTGAAAACTCGGCAGGAGAGACACTTGGGACCATAGTTGACCAGCGCCGTGACCAGTTTGATTGGTATAGAAGTTGCCTCGAGTGGTTTCATTCAAGAAGTGATATGAAATCATCCGACCCCATAGGTCAGTTGCACTAGTAGGACTGAAAAGGCGGGGAGATCAGCCTGATAATAGATGTGCAGTGTTCCCGTGAAGAAACGTACAGTGTGTCTGCCTTTGATTCAACACTCGCCAGGATACTGCCCCAATACTCTTGGTTATTTCTATCGTTGACTAACGGTGATGATGGCACTATCAAGTCAAGGTCTAACATCCATCCCGAAAAATTTCGTCCATTCCCGTAAACCAGTTCTGTAATTGACGGCCAATCATTCATTAGAAGTGACCCGAGCAGCCACGAACTACCTAAGATACCAGTGATCAGCATCATCAAAGCTTATAATAAGCTTTGATCCGATAGAACACTTACCAGACGAGGCTGAGAGGTAAGACGCGACTTGTAACAGTCCTCCGGTCCCCCTCTCTCTGGCAGTGGTGTTTCTCCAATCCAACCCTGACAATACTGCTGCGCCAAATTGCGCAGTGCGGTATCCCTCGCCTCCAATAGCAATGCCAATTCTGGGAAATTTGCCCCCCAAATTTTCGAAGTCGTATCCTATATCCGACGCATTGCCAAGCCAGTTAGACCACGCCTGTGTGATTACATAGGACTCCCTGGACGTGATATACTCCGTTTCTGATGCGTTCAGGATCTGATTCTGTGGTGTGAAAGTTCGCACGAGCGAGTTGGGTGTCTCTGGACAATTCACATTGACTGTCGGAGCATATGTATCAACTGGGTTCTGGGCGACAGTGAAACTCAGAACACAAGATAATATGATATGGAGAGCGAGAGAGATGAATAGGGCAGGATAAGTCATAGAGGTGCACACTGCATCACTGTTGTCGGGGAATACAAGTTGAAAGGAGAGCTGTGTTGTTGTAAGGTGACTGGCTGTGTTAGTACGCAGGTATGATCTTCACATGGTCCCTGTTTAGTATACTTGTCCGAAAATTTTGGTTCGATTGTTTTACTACAAAGTTGTAGGTAAGTTCGGGTATACGTTCAAGCTCCATTCAATGACCCCAGACACTTTATGACGGTCGTCCGCCCAACGGTTGCAGTACTGATCTGAAAGGTTGTGCGACGGAATAATTGTTGGAATTGACAAAGATGGGCTCCTCGGGGTCTTCAGTAAGGCAACTTCTGGAAACTGTCGGACATGTCTCAAGACTTTAACGTTTAACGTTGATCATGAGCATCTGAGCGCTGAGGCCTTGAGGCTCGAGCTCGAGGGGTGAGCCCCTAGCTAGAGGAAGAGCAGGGGAGAACTTGAACTAGGGCCGACTAAGCTACTAACTAATGAGCGGCGCCTAGCTTCAATGCTCGAGGCCTGACTTCTAGTGGCACTTTCAAGTTTGACGACTACGACCGTGACAGCCGCCTCTACCGACACTGTCTAAATTTCCTTCTCACTGGCAGCTACACTTATGCTTGTAAGCTACCCTCTCAAACTTCCTTACAAATGCCCATTGCCTATCATTTGACTAGCTTGCTGATACATCTGAGACAGTTCTGGCTGATACGAGACTCTATCGGATCCATCTAGAATGAAGCCTCACTTTGACAATTCAAGTCGTACCACCCCGGTCACAGATGAGCCAATGCTTGGATGGTATAATTGAGCACCTTGCAAATTTCTCCCGCACGTCGATGTCGAATCGATCGAATCCCCGAGTTGCGCGTTGCTGCGTGACTTCTCTGGGTCCAATCAGAAGGATTCTGTTCGGGTTCGTCAGTTTATTAGGCACCCGTTATCTTTAAAAAAAGACGAGTCGCAAGGAGAAACTATAATTGGCCAGATATTTCAACAAGCCGAATCAAATCCAATAATAAGTAAGTTTGTGTTATACTAGATTACTGCGACCAGTTTAGACTAACTCGAACATGTGTCGTGTTTACAAAGCCTTTGTCGTACCACGAATCTTCGTCGACCGAGATAAGGAGCAGCAGCGTGCCGGTACCATTCATGGAACATGCGCAAATGTTGCTGAGATTACAGCGAAGTTTCGTACGAATGCCTGGTCTTCCATCATGATAGACCGTAGACGCACGATTTTGGACATCTGAACTGCCCTTGCATAACGTTCGTCAGGAAAATTCTAGAGGATCAAACCAGGTGGTTGTGCCAGTGCTAGGCGCGGTCCGCAAACATTTGCCCTCGCCCTGCCGGACCGCTAGCCCGGCCCCCACTTTAACCGCCATGTGACATATTCGTGATACTGGAAGACATCGGAAATCGTCGGTCGGTTCAAAATACTGCTTAAGCAATCTATTGAGCTGATTAAAGAGGGCTTTAAAACAGGCCCGAATTTATCACATCAACGACGACACCTTCAGATATACTTTAGAACAACTCAAGTATCATGTCCACGATATATTCGTTCAATCACCTTATTGCTGAACGCACTCGCGATTACCCAAACATTGAGATCTTGGGCATACCAGATAAGGATTTCAATGTAAGTACGACATACTGTTTAAATTCTGTGGGCGAAATTCATAGTGGCCGCCAAGTACATCAAGTATACTCTGGCCGACCTCGATGCCTCAGCATCCTTGTTTGCCCACCACCTACGGGACAACGGATTACTGAATGGACGTTCCAAAGGAGACGTCACCAGTAGGATGACCGTCGGACTTCTAGGCGTTAGCAACATAGATTATGTAGTCACCGAGATGGCGCTCTATCGAATGGGCTACTGTTAGTGCACTGCACATGGAAGTCATGGTCTTGCTCTGACTTTGCCAATCTTTCCATAGGTGTGCTTTTCTTGTCGCCGAATAACTCACCTCCCGCAATTGCCCATCTGTTGACCGTGACGAACGCAACCCACATGATAGTGCAAGACGTGCTATTACCCTCCGCAACAGCCGCGCTTACCCTTCTCAGCAACCCCGGTTCTGTGACAATCATCAACCAGCCTTCATCTGACGTCTTCGGCTCAGCTGCACGTTCTTTTTACCCAGAGAAGACGCGATGGGACCCTATCTTAAAGTGGGAGGATGAATATCTTCTTCCAGTCACGATAATCCACTCGAGCGGGTCTACTGGTTTCCCCAAACCAATTATTGCAACAAACAAAGCGGCTATCGGCAACTGCATCATGAATTTCGGTCTTACGAGTTTAACGACCTTGCCATTATACCATGTATGTCGCATCCATGTCTTACCAGAATTCACTCATTTTGCCTTCAGGGACACGGCCACTCCAACCTTTATCGCGCAATCCATGCTGCAAAACCACTGTACCTTTTCCCAACCGGATCAATACCATTGACCTCTACCAATGTTATCAAGCTTCTCGAGCAAGCTCCGGACGTGGAGGCTCTATTTGGCGTTCCTCTGGCATTGAAACTCCTCGCCGAGACTACTGAAGGTCTGCAGGTCCTCAGGAGCCTCAAACTTGTCATGTTCGGCGGTAGTGCTTGTCCTGAGGAGCTCGGCGACTTCCTTGTCAACGAGGGTATCCGCTTGGTAGGCCATTATGGTCTTAGTGAGTGATACTTTGACAGGTTGAAAGAAACTCGACATTCAGTATACCTCATTTCAATATAGCTGAAATGGGTCAACTCATGACGTCTTTCCGGGACTTCGAGACTGACAAGGGCTGGAATTGGGTGCGCGCTAAGGGGCCGTATGTGAAAACGAATGTAAACGACTACCTACGATTCGTACCGCTAGGCGGTGATACTTATGAGCTACTCATTTTAGACGGCTGGCCCATGAAGGCAAGTATATATACTACTATTGGATTACATTGTCTCACTAACCGGCGAAGGTTATGAGTAACCAACCCGATGGGTCATACGCAACAAAAGATCTATTTATCAAGCATCCCAATATCCCAGATGCATACAAGTTCATCGGGAGAATCGACGACACCCTGGTCATGGTGTGGATATTAAATCAAATCAAGATAACTCTTATCTAATAACATGCACAGGTTAACGGCGAGAAGACAAATCCTGTCCCGATGGAGCTCACCCTTCGCTCGTCGCCCTACGTTGCGGATGCCATCATCTTCGGTGCCGGCCGCATTCAGATTGGAGCTCTGATTCTTCCAACCGAAATCGTGAAAGACTGCTCTCCTTCGGAGCTTGTCAAGCTTGTAGCGCCTATCGTCGCCCTCGCCAATGCCGAAGCTCCCTCGCACTCACAACTTGCGTCGGAAGCTCTCGTATTTCTCCCTTACGGCACAGTAATTCCTCGTGCTGATAAGGGCAGCATCCTGAGACCCCGGGTGTATAAGGAGTTCGAGGGCATCATCAATGAGGCCTATAAACGGCTAGAGGGTGACATAGACGAGGATGGGAAGAGAAAACTGACCGATGAGGTGGACGCGAGGACGGTCATTAGAGGCGTAATCGGCAAGACGGTCGATACACCCATCAACAGCCTAGAAGATGACACTGACCTTTTCGATTTTGGGCTAGACTCGTTGCAGTCTAGCAGAATACGGAATACTATTCAGAGAGTCAGCTTAAGCGTTCTGCTGATTGGTGCTTGTAAGCTGAATAATGGCGCAGGAGATTTACCTAGGTGGCAAGAAGCTAGCGCCCAACACCGTTTTCGAGCATCCATCCATCACGCAGTACGTTTGTCCCCTTGTGTGCATGACACTGTATGTAGCCTTGGCTAAAATTAACATATAGGATTGCTCGACTCCTGATTGCACTGTCCTCTGGCGATGAAACTGCTCTAGCACAACGAAGCTCGCTCGAGATCGTGCTGGAACTTGTTAAGAAGTACAGCTCTTTCACTTATACCCACAAGGCTGATGTCGACGGAACGAATGGAGCTGCACGCAGCTTAGTCACCCCTCGTGTTGTGAGTCCGCTGTTGTACTTTTCAAAGGTCTACGTCTGATTGCGATATTGATGTAGGTTGTCTTGACTGGCGCGACTGGGTCTCTGGGAGCATATATTCTGGATGAACTTCTTTCGGACCCTTCTGTGGCCACTGTTTACTGTTTGTGCAGAGCAAAGGACGATGCAGATGCGTCCAGCCGCATAGCAGCTTCCATGAGGACAAGGAAGCTATTATCTCGCTATGAGCAGGTTCAGACGCGAGTCAAAGCTCTTGCCTCCGACCTGTCCACCGACAAGCTTGGAATCCAGACAGACGTGTACAATGAAATCGCGACACGGGCAACACTGATCATTCACGTAAGCATTGAAAACATTTCTTGGTCCATTCTCGTCAATTTTGCGTGCAGAACGCTTGGGCGGTCAACTTCAACCTTGGCATTTCTAGGCAAGTCCACCTCAATTTGATGAAAACTAACTGACAGAGCAATAGCTTCGAACCTCACATCCGTGGAGCTGTCAATTTAATCAACCTTGCCCTGGCGTCGCCTCATCCCAGACCAGCAGACTTCTACTTCGCATCTTCGATCAGTGCTGTCGCAGCTTGGCCAGGACCAGAGTCGATTCCAGAAGCCATTACGGACGATCCCTCTGTCGCTCAGGAGATGGGCTAGTGAGCAGCTCGTACCTCGCGCAGTTGACACAGATTTCTGACTTTAGTCAGTGCACAATCGAAGTGGATTACTGAGAAGCTCTGTCAAGTTGCCTCCCAGCAGACACCTATTCGGGCTGGCGTGCTACGTGAGACATGTTCTTTCATTACGGGTGGAATAGTCACTAAAGTGCATGCAGGAATTGGCCAAATGGTGGGAGACTCTCGGAATGGCGTGTGGAATGAGACAGAAGCTATTTCGCTCATCATCAAGGTATGAAAACTTGTTATCCATGATATCTGTGATTGTCATATTCCGTGACAGTGCACAGATACAATTGGAATCCTTCCCAACCTTGATGAGTCAGTTTCTTGGCTCCCAGTGGACTACGCAGCAAAGGCTATCATCGATCTGGTCAATATTCCCCCTCAATGCTCGCCCTTGGGAGAGTGCCCGGTTTGGAACGTGATTCACCCAAAGCTTGTGCCGTGGACGTCGATCCTCTCGTCTCTCCAGCATGCCGGCCTGAAATTCAAAGTCCTCCCGAGGCATGAGTGGATCAAGGCTTTGCGGGCTAGCCCTGTTGATGAAGCGAACAACCCAAGCCGGAAGCTGTTGACCTTTTTTGAGAACAAATATGGACAAGAGGAATTGGCTACGCGGTACCCATTACTGACTGTGAAAACTGAGAAAGCAAGTAAGAATCTCAGGAGCGCACCTATTGCTGATGTTGGACTGGTGGGGAAGTGGGTAGAGGCATGGAGAGAGACAGGTTTTTTGGCTTGAAAGCAGTTGATCCAAGCTCGTGAATGGAATAACCTTCGTTATGAGAAACCTCGTCCCTGGCTTAAGGCTTACTGATATGCTACGTCTCGTCAGCTGATCCCAGATAGAGATATTGCATATGTGCTTATATATGTATGGTCCTAGACTCGTGACCAGTCCGTCTAGCCTTTGGGGCTATTAGAAGTTCCTATTCGGGATAGTGAGAGAGGCTGTTTGACCATGACCAGACCTGTCAGACAATCCGTAAGTACTGATCGATCCAGGTGCTGATGAAGGACCGTTGTGTATATGTTGCAGTGCACGGAGGGGCAGGATATCATGGAGTTGTGTCAGAACAAAGTGTTAAAAGTGCTTTGAAACGGTAATGTCAGAACAACTCCGCGATATCATGTCAAACTCATCCAAGTCATAACTACACTAGGGCTTGTACTCAGGCTTTGCGGGGATCACCACTAGATGACTCCTCTGCCCTTTCGGTTGTAGAGCGAGCCATAGCTGTTCTTGAGGATGATGAATACCTCAACGCAGGTACGGGTTTTTGTTCCAGTCCTCACTTGCACATCACGATAACGTTCACTATCCGATCTTCTTCAACCTTTCGTTAGGTTATGGTTCCAATCTGACCATCGACGGCACTGTAGAATGTGATGCGGCTGTCATGGACGGTTTGACAGGGGATTTTGGCAGCGTTGGTGCTGTTCCAGGTTCGGCGATCTCTGTGACAGCTTATCTTGGCTGACTTAAGAAAGGCAGGACTAAAAAATCCAATAAAACTGGCTTCGGCATTGTTGAGGCATTCCAGAGAATCCGACCCTCTCGGGCGCATACGCCCCATGTGAGTAACAGTGCCCCTTTCATGGAATGAGAGTCCTGAGTCCCGACGAGGACTCTTGTCGCATCCGGAGCGCACTCGTTTGCATTATCACGAGGTATCCAGACCGTTGCTCCAAACGAGATGATATCACCGCGAGCGACTCACGAGTGGAAGAAGTGGAAATCGCGACTGGATCACCCCATTGATGGGGATCCAGGGAGCTTGCCTCAAGATGCCATGCAGGACACGGTTGGCGCGGTGGCCTGGGATAATGAAGGCAATCTCGCTGCTGGCGTTTCAAGGTATGTCAGACACGGTTCTCATGATTGAAGAGTCACAAACGGTACTTAGCGGTGGGCTGCTTTTAAAATATTCTGGTCGTATTGGTGAAGTAAGTCTACAGGAGATCCGGCGATGTTTGGGACTGAACTGGACAGGCAGCTACCTTTGGAGCCGGGTGCTGGGCGCAGCAGTCGCGCAGTGGATGTTATGGGATGGCATGTAGCATTTCTGGAGCAGGGGAGCACATCATGCGAGGCGGACTGGCCCGTGCGCTGGGCGAAGCCTTACAGTCCCGGCAATCAGATGATAGCGAGCTTGACGCACATCACGTATTGCTTCGAATATTGAATCAGCAATTTACTGGTAAGTTTGCATACTGCAGCAATTTGCGTTGCTTAATAAATCGTGGCTGTCATAGAACCATTATATCAACGAGGGGAGCGGATGCCAAATGCAGGAGTTTTGCTGTTGACGAAAGAACAAGGCGAAGATGACGAAGCAGTGGGCAAGTCGTTCGCATAGTATCTTATTTGTTCACCAGACATATCTATTGTACAGCAAGGTTATGGTGCGCGTTCACTACAGAAAGCATGGCGGTCGCATACGCAAGCACCACCAAACGCTCACCCAAGGTAATCACAAAGTTACTGGCGTACAAAAATGACAGGTCGCTAATTATGACCACATGCAGGCATCCATTTTGCGTCGTCCGGCATCGACTGGCTCTGCTATAGATGCAGACAAGTCGTCAGTGTTTATAACTGCGCTACCCATTCACCAGTAGCGTCATCTAGCCTGTACACGGAGGGTAATATCGTGTCAACGAACGCGACTATGATCTCGACACACGACTCTTTACGTGGTACACGTCAGTTGAGGGTTATCTTCCCGTTGTTATCGGAGATTTGACATCCCATTCGGTGGAGTGGAAGTTGGACGAGGCGATACTGCGTTGTTCAAGTTGGCCAGCGGAAGTCCTATGCGTGAATTTGCAGGAGTGATAATAGGGCGAGCAGCATTGAGTCGTTTGAGTGTATTGATAGGAAACTTGGTTCTGTGTGTCCGTCAGGGTCAAAGTGGGTAGCTAGGGAACAAGAGTATCTGACCTGCATGTGGAGCAAACCGGGAGTGGTTGACAGAAAACTGCAAGATCACAGGGTCCTTAGAATTTAGTGATAAGGCAGTAATGGTAATGCGTACTAGATAAACAGACGGAGCAGACAAAACCGATGTCTACGATGTTTTTGTGGCAGAAGCACGCAGCGCGGAAATCAATCTTGTCTTGCTTTGGTACAGACAAAATCTCGCGGATGGATGTCGGTGACAGGAAAGACATCTGAAACAATGGTAGCCGATGAGCAACAGGATATGGCAGACGACGAGATAAAATTACAATCAAGTATTGTAGGAGCGCATCTCTGCGTTCGAGGTAGATGTAGGTCCCATTCGTTAGGTGGGCTGCTTGCTGCAAAAATACGGTATCGGGCCCATAAACCTTGCACACGTCAATTGTCACTTTCTGCTCCACATCGTAGTCAGTCAAACAATATGTTGCTGAAGGGCGCGAGACGTGCCAGTTTTTGTGCGGAAAAGATAGCGTTCATAATCGGGATGTACGAAGAAGACAAGTCAGGGGAGACTGAAAGGATTAAAATACGAGGGTCGTGGACGATCGACGGGTCCTCTGCGACACCGGCTGTCGTTGAAGAAGGATGTATGATGCGGTTAATGTCTGTCCACAAGTTAGGTTGTTGGTAGTGACACATCCCCCTTCACGCACAACACAGTGCCTTCGTCACAGCGCCTACCAATGCACATGGAGCTGTGATGCAAATGAGATGACACAAGGCAGGTCAAATGTCCATCACTCACGTTCCTCCTCAAGCTCTCCGATAGCATCGAACTCATTCATGATCCTCTGTACAACTGTCGAGTCCACAAGCTTGAAAGGTAGATACGAGTTAGCATCCAAAGAGGGCACGTCATCCGAGAGCAGCTCCGTGGATGAATAGAGCAACACACTGTTCGTCAGCAGTATATAAACTGCCCGTTCCTGAGGATAGGTCTCACCTCTTCCCAGGAAGCGCGCCAAAGACTACAAGTGAGTTCTCATGCTTGGACGCGATATGCGCGTTCAGAAATGCAAGGAGCTGCGAGAGAAATGTTTCAATGGAAAGTGGATACTGGTTTGAAGTTTGTGCAGAGAGGTGCCATTGCGTTGGAGATAAATCTACTATCACAGATAAATGAGATGCTTTCTCCATGGCTGAAAACACAACAGCGTGCAAAGTATTTTGTCGAGTTTGGTATATGGCTGTGTACAGCCACAAAATACAGCTACCGTACATATACAAGCATCCAGTATCTCTATTCTGATGATCGACTTACAGAGGGCGAAGTGTTCATTCGTCACGACTAGAATCCACGAGCTTGAGCCAACTGCTTTCAAGCCAAAAAACCTGTCTCTCTCCATGCAGCTACCCACTTCCCCACCAGTCCGACATCGGCAATAGGTGCGTTCCTGATGCTCTTGCTTGCTGTCTCAGTTTGCACAGTCAATGACGGGTACCGCGTAGCCAGTTCCTCTTGTCCGTATCTATTCTCAAAAAAGGTCAACAGCTTCCGGCTTGGGTTATTCACTTCATCAGCAGGGCTAGCCCGCAAAGCCTTGATCCACTCGTGCCTCGGGAGGGTTTTGAATTTCAAGCCGGCATGCTGGAGAGACGAGAGGATCGACGTCCACGGCACAAGCTTTGGGTGAATCACGTTCCAAACCGGGCACTCTCCCAAGGGCGAGCATTGAGGGGGAATATTGACCAGATCGATGATAGCCTTTGCTGCGTAGTCCACAGGGAGCCACGAAACTGACTCTTCAAGGTTGGGAAGAATTCCGATTGTATCTGTGCACTGTCACGGAATATGACAATCACAGATATCATCGATAGCGAGTTTTCATACCTTGATTATGAGCGAAATAGCTTCTGTCTCGTTCCACACGCCATTCCGAGAGTCTCCCACCATTTGGCCAATTCCTGCATGCACTTTAGTGACTATTCCTCCCGTGGTAAAAGAACATGTCTCACGTAGCACGCCCGCCCGAATAGGTGTCTGCTGGGAGGCAACTTGACAGAGCTTCTCGGTAATCCACTTCGATTGTGCACTGACTAAAGTCAGAAATCTGTGTCAACTGCGCGAGGTACGAGCTGCTCACTAGCCCATCTCCTGAGCGACAGAGGGATCGTCCGTAATGGCTTCCGGGATTGACCCTGGTCCTCGCCAAGCTGCGACAGCACTGATCGAAGATGCGAAGTAGAAGTCTGCTGGTCGGGGATGAGGCGATGCCAGGGCAAGATTAATTAAATTGACGGCTCCACGGATGTGTGGCTCGAAGCTATTGCTCTGTCAGTTAATTTTCATCGAGTCGAGGTGGACTTGCCTAGAAATGCCAAGGTTGAAGTTGACCGCCCAAGCGTTCTGCACGCAAGATTGACGAGAATGGACCAAGGAATGTTTTCAATGCTTACGTGAATGATCAGGGTTGCCCGTGTTGCGATTTCGTTGTACATGTCTGTCTGAAGTCCAAGTTTGTCGGTGGACAGGTCGGAGGCAAGAGCTTTGACTCGCGTCTGAACCTGCTCATAGCGAGATAATAGCTTCCTTGTCTTCATGGAAGCTGCTATGCGACCTGACGCATCTGCATCGTCCCTTGCTCTGCACAGACAGTAAACAGTGGCCACAGAAGGGTCCGAAAGAAGTTCATCCAGAATATATGCTCCCAGAGACCCAGTCGCGCCAGTCAAGACAACCTACATCAATATCGCAATCAGACGTAGACTTTTGGAAAATACAACAGCGGACTCACAACGCGAGGGGTGACTAAGTTGCGTGCAGCTCCATTCGTTCCGTCGACATCAGCCTTGTGTGTATAAGTGAAAGAGCTGTACTTCTTAACAAATTCCAGCACGATCTCGAGCGGGTTTCGTTGCGCTAGAGCACCTTCATTGCCAGAGGACAGTGCAATCAGGAGTCGAGCAATCCTATATGTTAATTTTAGCCAAAACTACATACAGTGTCATACACACAAGGGGATGAACGTACTGCGTGATGGAAGGATGCTCGAAAACGGTGTTGGGCGCTAGCTTCTTGCCACCTAGGTAAATCTCCTGCGCCATTATTCAGCTTACAAGCACCAATCAGGAGAACGTTTGAGCTGACTCTCTGAATAGTATTCCGTATTCTGCTAGACTGCAACGAGTCTAGCCCAAAATCGAAAAGGTCAGTGTCATCTTCTAGGCTGTTGATGGGTGTATCGACCGTCTTGCCGATTACGCCTCTAATGACCGTCCTCGCGTCCACCTCATCGGTCAGTTTTCTCTTCCCATCCTCGTCTATGTCACCCTCTAGCCGTTTATAGGCCTCATTGATGATGCCCTCGAACTCCTTATACACCCGGGGTCTCAGGATGCTGCCCTTATCAGCACGAGGAATTACTGTGCCGTAAGGGAGAAACACGAGAGCTTCCGACGCAAGTTGTGAGTGCGAGGGAGCTTCGGCATTGGCGAGGGCGACGATAGGCGCTACAAGCTTGACAAGCTCCGAAGGAGAGCAGTCTTTCACGATTTCGGTTGGAAGAATCAGAGCTCCAATCTGAATGCGGCCGGCACCGAAGATGATGGCATCCGCAACGTAGGGCGACGAGCGAAGGGTGAGCTCCATCGGGACAGGATTTGTCTTCTCGCCGTTAACCTGTGCATGTTATTAGATAAGAGTTATCTTGATTTGATTTAATATCCACACCATGACCAGGGTGTCGTCGATTCTCCCGATGAACTTGTATACATCTGGGATGGTGGGATGCCTGATAAATAGATCTCTTGTTGCGTACGACCCATCGGGTTGGTTGGTCATATTCTTCGCCGGTAATTAAGACAGTGCAATCCAATGATAGTATATACTTACTTTCGTAGGCCAGCCATCTAAAACGAGCAGCTCATAGGTATCATTGCCCAGCGGTACGAATCGCAGGTAATCATTCACATTCGTTTTCACATTCGGCCCCTTAGCGCGCACCCAATTCCAGCCCTTGTCAGTCTCAAAGTCCCGAAGAGACGTCATGAGTTGACCCATTTCAGCTATATTGAAATGAGGTATGCTGAATGTCAAGTTTCTCTCAACCTGTCAGCATATCACTCACTAAGACCATATTGGCATACCAAGCGGATACCCTCGTTGACAAGGAAGTCGCCGAGCTCGTCAGGACATGGACTTCCGCCGAACGTGACAAGTTTAAGGCTCTTGAGGACCTGCAGACCTTCAGTAGTCTCGGCGAGGAGTTTCAATGCCAGAGGAACGCCAAATAGAGCCTCCACATCCGGAGCTTGCTCGAGAAGCTTGATAACATTGGTAGAGGTCAATGGAATCAATCCAGTTGGGAAGAGGTACATTGGTTTTGCGGCATGAATTGCACGATAAACATTGGAGTGACCGTTTCCCTGTCCAAGGCAAAATGAATGGATTCTGGTAGAAGATGCGTGCAACATACATGATACAATGGCAAGGTCGATAAACTCGTAAGACCGAAATTCATGGCGCAGTTGCCGACAGCCGCTTTGTTTGTTGCAATAATTGGTTTTGGGAAACCAGTGGATCCGCTTGAGTGAATGATCGTGGCTGGAAGAAGATGTTCATCCTCCCACTGTAATATAGGGTCCCATCGCGTCTTCTCTGGGTAAAAAGAATGTGCAGCTGAGCCGAAGACGTCAGGTGAAGGCTGGTTGATGATCGTAACAGAACCGGGGTTGCTGAGATGGGTAAGCGCGACCGTTGCGGAGGGTAATAGCACGTCTTGCACTATCATGTGGGTTGCATTCGTCACGGTCAACAAATGAGCAATTGCGGAAGGAGAGTTATTCGGCGACAAGAAAAGAACGCCTATGGAAAGATTGGCAAAGTCAGAACAAAACTTCCATATGCTGTGTACTAACAGTAGCCCATTCGATAAAGCGCCATCTCGGTGACTACATAACTTATGTTGCTAACGCCTAGAAGTCCAACAGTCATCCTACTGGTGACATCTCCTTTGGAACGTCCATCCAGCAGTCCGTTGTCCCGTAGGTGGTGGGCAAACAAGGATGCTGAGGCATCGAGGTCGGCCAGAGTATACTTGATGTACTTCATGCTCGCTATGAGTTTCACCCACAGAATTTGTACTATAGTACGTCGTACTTACATTGAAGTCCTTATCTGGTATGCCCAAGATTTCAAGGTTTGGGTAATCGCGAGTACGTTCAGCTATAAGGTGGTTGAACGAGTATATCGTGGACATGATATGATTCTATTGTTGGTTAGGATGTCCCAATGGTTCAATGTACCAGCCACTAGGGCCTGATATGGGTCGACCTAGGTCATGCCTGGGTGCTACCCACGGGTAAGTTGAGATATATGTTTCTTGGACTGGCTGAAAGTAATGTGACGACGTCACGACTCGCACTATCCAAATTAAAACCCAGATTTACCAGTCCGTCTATCGACGGTCTGCCTCATACACCTCTAAGTTTGGGACCACGCGTCGACTTGCCTCATTTTCGAATCGATCAAGGGTTGGAACAAGGCACCTGATACTCAGATAACAGCATCACCGGGGAGATTGGTACTGCGGACGCGCAGACTTGAATGTTACCTCATTTTCGAACCGATCAAGGCTCCGGATTAAAACAGGCCTCAATGAAATTGAATGACCCGACTTTTTCTCTGAGTAGGCTCGAGGATCTCTCCACCACTTAGATCTTTACCGTTTGCAAGCTCTTAAGCCAATTCTCGACGATCTTGTTCCAAATTCTATCCTGGCAACCAGCGTTGCGCTCAGTGGCTGTGTACTACTACAACTACACACTGACCTCACCAGATGACCTTCGCTCAACTTATTGGATACGGTGTGCTCACCATTGCAGTATGGAAGCTCGCTCAGAGACGTGCCTACAGAAAGGCAAACGCCCTAGATGTCGCAGGCCCAGAAAAGGAACACTGGTGGAAAGGTCAGCTTTCTCTGGCGGTCAGTTTGATGACATGGATGTTCACTTTCATCGGTGTAGGCAACGTGGAGTCGATGTTTGTGGACGGTTTCCAACGCTGCTTAGATATTGCCGCAGAATATGGTGGAGCTGTTAAGGTCCATGCGCTGTTTGGAGTACGTGTTTTGCATCACCCTACATAAGGCATGGTTATTGATGTGAAGCCCCCCAGGATAAATGGCTATATGTATCAGACCCGCGCGCGCTCCACCATATCCTTGTGAAGGAGCAGCATATATTCGAGGAAAATGACAGCTTTTTGGAGTAAGTGTCAAGTATTGCTCGAACGGCCTTCACTGACCCTCCTCGAGATGCAATAAACTCATCTTCGGCGATGGTCTTATTTCGACACTAGGTAAATCTTCTTAGTAATTGTCGTAGTTTTTTTCATTGCCGTACAGGGGAACAGCACCGAAAACAGCGCAAAATGCTAAATCCAGTGTTCTCTACCTCCAATATGCGGGAGCTCCTGCCCATCATTCAAACCATTTCCCATCAGCTAAAATCCATCCTCGTGTCAAACCTTTCTGCTGGCAATGAGCATGATCATGCATCATGCAGAGAGTCCGTAGAACTCGATTTGTTACCCTGGCTCTCTCGCAGTTCTCTGGATTGTATTTGCGAGGGCGTGCTGGGCTACCATTCAGCTGCACTAGACACAAGAAAAGAGGATGAATACACAGATGCCCTACGAATGTTAAGGTGCACAGGTTAATCTGCTAGTGAAATCATTCCTTGACATGCTCTGTCACACAGTTCATCTATAACTAAATCCTTGATATTTCGACCTTTCGTTCCGATGGTTGTGCGCAAATTCTCTCTTTACTGGCGCAAAAAGATAGCAGACTGGCTCACGATGAGTTGGTGGCCGACTGAAAATATGAGGAATCTCAGAGAACTACGTCACATAGTCGAAATCATGGACTCGGCCAGTAGAGCCATCTTTCAAGAGAAAAAGGCCGCGCTGCAGCCACAGCTACCCTCCCCCCTACAACAGGCCCACGACACGTCGGGAGGGACAAGGGGGAAAGATATGATGTCTATCATGCGTGCGTAATTATTGACGATAAAGTATTCATTCTCACGTGAGACACATACAGTCAGGGCAAACACCTCCTCTTCCGAGGCAGATAGACTAAGTGATACCGAGCTTCTGGGACAGATGAAGTCAGTTCTAGTTGCTTCCCTGCGGCTAAACCTAATTTCTCAATCTGACAGCGTTATGATTTTTGCTGGTCTCGAGACGACCACGGTAGCTGTGGCTCGTGCACTATACATGCTTGCCAAACACCCTGACATCCAGGAGCAACTGAGGACAGAAATTTGTGGTGCCATGGCTGCACATGACGTCGACCGTTCACACACTAAAGACGAAAACGGATATGCCAGACTGTCATACGATGTATTGATGAATCTTCCTTTCCTGAATGCAGTTGTTCGAGAGACATTAAGGGTCTATCCATCGTTGCCTATTCTCACTCGGAGGTTAGTGTATTAACGAAAGACGGCCCTTGCTGACGCCTCCGAAGAACTACAGAATCAGCGTCAGTCCCACTACAATTCCCGGTCCGGTCTGCATCTGGCAAAGAGATCGATACAATCCATCTGGCCAAGGACCAGAGGATCATCATATCCATCATTGCTGCGAATCATAATCAAGCTGTCTGGGGCGAAGATGCGTCCGAATGGAAACCCGATAGATGGCTTAAATCTCCTCAAGGTTATATCTTGTGTATGCCACGAGACGTAGTTATTTACCAGGATTCTTTTAGGGGTCACACCTGGGAACAAGGATGCAGTGAAATATCCGGGTATTTATTCATCTATGTGTGTCATAAGAAGCCGTTTTGTTGCATGCATCTCGCTAAACGACCTTCAGGATGACCTTCCTTGCAGGCAATCGTTCTTGCATGTATGGTGCCAACTTTTCCGAACCTGAATATGTTCTCACTATACGCTGACCCCCACAGAGGCCTCAAGTTTGCCGAAATGGAAATAAGTGAGATATCTGAATTGCCGGTCATTAGATCTTTGCACTGAAGAGCTTGCGTTTCAGAGGACGTATTGGCCACTCTTCTGCCAGTCATTCACTTTGCCCTGCCGTCAGAACCTGACGACAACGGGAATGTGAAAGAGATACACTGGAAAATGAGTGGTTTCCACACACCGGTGATAAAGGCACCTGCAGGAGATGGTGAAACTCCTCTACTGCCTTTGAGCATGCGGCTCGTGCGAGATTGATCATTTGAATAGTTTGTTTTATGAGTGATTTGGAAGTCATGGCTCAGTGTATGGCAGTTCATGGTCGCGAAAGAAGGAAAGATGGCGTAGAGACTGATGTAGATAGTTAATTCGAGTTTGACACTGCATGCCTTACTGTACTACATACTCCACATGATATGTTGGCAATTGTGAATAAGTGTACCTTGAGTCTACCGTGGGAGTTGTTGTCACATGGGACGACTCGGATGAATACTTGGTGGGTTCGAGACGAGCATTTATCAGTCTTACATACATATCGTAGATAAATTACATGGTGCAAACAGTACCCTTATATTAGTTCATCCAAAGTCATATCCCCTGGTATGTGTTCCAGAACGGTTGCTTTAATCAATGCATCTGACGCAGCGCAAGGCGGGGCGGAAGTTGCTGCCACGATATTCATGCTCTGGCTCGTGAGGGGAGGTCGCGTCACACGGGTTAAATTCGTCCGAGGCTTGCTATCTCCTGGAACCGCAACAGACTTGTACATCATGATTTCGTGCAGTAAATCTTCATTCGCTGCAGATATGGCGTCCCTGTCGCGGGTACACACAAGTAGTTTCTGGTAGCTGTTAGTCAAGGAAGAGCCGAGGCGATGAAGATGCATACCTGCTTGACCTCGGATAGCTCTCGACGAATCCTGTCGACGTATAAAATCCTCTGAACAGGGTTTTTATGGCCAAGAATCTCAGCATTAAACTTGCTAAGATTTTCAGCCTCTTCCTCTGCAAGGTTATTTCGCGCCACTAATGCTTCAGTCTCGTCCACCAAGTTATAGTATGCTTCCTGGAAGCGTGTCAAATCTGCCAACTCTGCATGCAACCTGTGTAAATTTCTCAGGTCAGTTGCCCGTGGTTTAGGCGGCGGGATACATACTGCTCGATATCAGCTTTGAGGGCATCCTCGGCTGTCTTGCTGATATGGAGTGCAACAGACAACTTTTGAGAAGTGTCACGCTCCCTCTGTAAAGCTTGTTTGTGACTCGTTGCCATGTCTCGTATATTATTCTCGAATTCTTCCACTCGACCGTGCAACGTATGTTGTTCTGCATGACTTTCCGTTAAAGAAGCTTGGGCGTCAGCCAGAGCGCGCTGTCCAGTGGTGATTTCAACCTGTGCTTTTGTGAGCTCGGACCGTAGAACATCCACTTCGGCTGAGTTACGTCCAAGTTGGTCGATGAGTGCACGGTCAATTTCGTGCTGCTTCTCGAGAATGCCATGGAGGCGGGTACACTCTGAAAGTAACTCGTCATTGTGAGAGCGATAGAAGTCGGATATAGTCCCAGTGCACGCCAGAGCACTTTTCTGGACCGTCATGGTTTCTCTAGATGTGTCTCTTTCGTTCTGGTGGATGTCTCCCTCCAGACAGAGGAGCTCATGAAGCTCAGTGCGGTGGGAGTAGCTATCGAGGGCAGCTCGGGTTTCCTGCAATGTCTGCAAGTGGAAAGCCGCTTCTTCCTGAGTGTCGCGCAGTTCTTGACACAAGAACATGTTTTCTTCCTGAGTGTGGCGGACAAGGTTGGCGAGTTCAGCAACTTGGCCTTCTGAGTTTGCCAATTTTCGTTCCAACCGGAATGCACGTAATTGAAGTGCCATATGGTCCTTCACCAGTGTGGCATGGCTGGATGCAGCGATGCTTGTTGTAGCCAAGCGACCATACTCCTCCGCAACGCGAGAAAGGACAGAACGGCATTGGTCTAGTCGGGCAGAAAAATCGTTCTCTTGGTTTTCGGCTCGCCCTCGCAGAGATGTAAGCGCTTGGCGCGCATCTTGGGAGTCCTTATTAGCTGTGTCAAGTTTTGCTTGTATTGTCATCATCATGTCGCGTGATTTGCGTGCCTCTTCATCCGCCTTTCCTCTCACCTCATGAACGTAGCTTTCCAGCACATCTTTTTTCTTCCTCTCTGCAGATACAGCCTTTTCCAATTCCGCGATCTTTCTCTCACGTTCCTGAACTTCGTCTTTCTTCCTTGCCTCGAGACTTTGCAGTGCTTTCTTCGCTTCGTTGCTCTCCTCCTGCTTGCTAACAAGCTGTATGCGCTCATGTTCGGACATGCGAAGTTTGACACGCAGTGCTTTCAGCTCAGTTTGATCGGCAGTACTGCTCTTCTTGTGCTCTTGGATTCGCGATTCGAGTATTTCGCTATGTTTCTTGAGCTTATCCAGTCTCTCACCCTGCTCCAAGTTGGTCTTCAATAGACCAGCGACTTCAAATTTATAACGCTCGATTTCAGTTTGATGCTGCATAACACAGTTTGAGTTCCAGAGTTCGGAAAGCGATCAAAATATCATCTTACCGCCTTCTTGCCATCAGCGTGCACTTTTTCCAAGTCTTCGAGTTTCCTCGATAGTATCGCGTATCTATCGTCGCTTGCATGTTTAGCGGCTAATAGTTTCTGCGCAGCTCTCGGGGCGGAATTGTATGAACTTGGTCCTGTAAATACCATATAAACGCTGTACTGACACAGAACCGTCAAGCTTGCCTGGGACATAAGATGCCTTTTCCTTTGAGGAACGATCGGTTTTCTCCAGAAATGAACCTCGTTTATTCGCGTCTAGCTGGTCTTATCGTGATATTGATGTTAGAGAAATAATACAAATGCGTTCATTATTCTACGTACCTTCTGGCAGGCTGTAGGTATTCAATCCCGGAACATTGGAAACTGCAAGAGTTGGAATGATGAACTGCATGCCGTCACAAGGACCCACTGGGCAACGCACTTTTCTCTATCGCAAAACGTGAACCCTTGGGGAATGACATATCTCGTCAAATTTATGTATGAGACGGCCGCTATGAGACGCTCGGTCCTCGTCCAAAAGCGTGGTATGTGACGGTGAACGCTCGTTAGTATGTAGTTTGGTTCAATGTTTCAAACATGGGTCAATAAACGCGTCGCGAGTCCATGATTATAATACTCACGTGACGAAACACAGACGCGTCCGAGGAAAGCAAGCAGATACAGCCGTGAGTAAGTAGCGTTGACATTATAATTATGATGGTTCGTCGGACATCGTGTTTTGTGTGAACAAGAGTGAAAGGGACATTGCCGTACGTGTGAAATGAACAAGAAATAAAGATTCAGCAAAGAAATGAAGGAAATTCAGAAATATATTACAACACTGTTAGTTGCTCCGAGCTTTCAGGATTAAGAAGTTGGTATAACATAGATATCACCCTCTCGTCTGGTATGTGAAGTGCCCCCGTGAGATCGTTGACATTCCCAAATTACTTGTGATACGACCCTGACCGATCCCTGGATATGATGGAACGTTCAGTTATCACAAGCACAATGATACACAGGAAAGTCTAAGTTTCTGTGATGGAACTTCCTGAACATTCAACAAGATTTCCATCAGAAGTGGCGTATTCGTTATTCGTATGAGACACTTCCAGATGCAATCGGCGAGCCATATTTGCGTCCTGCCTTTGCTCCTTTCCTTCAAATACTTGCGAACTCCGGCCAGAGTGCCGCCAATACTGCGCAAACGAAACTGTCGATCTCACCCTTCCTCTGTTCCCATATTTCGAACCCGGGAGAGATATAATGGACATACGCATTCGCAGTGTTATCGGATGGATCTGTCCATGACATTCTCGAGCTTTTCGGCGTACTCCTTCGCCTGGTGATCATAGTTTCAACGGACCGCAGGCACTGAACAGACTTCGGTACCGAGCATCCGGAGAAGGCCAATAATCTCTTGGCTTTGAGTACAAAGCATCAGCAACGAAAACGGTGAATATCACACACTTGACTCTACAAACATAGACAAGGCCATGGGATGCCAGTATTGCCTGCAGTGCCTTTGACAACGGTCCCATCAAGCGTTATTCTGGGCAACACAGAATACGTCATGAAGCGCACTACGACCACTCACTAACCCTTCTTCTCCGCATCCCGAATTATGCTGACGGCAGCACGGTCTTTGACGCTGCCTGCGCGGTTTTATAATTCAGCCGCGTCTGCATCCTGACTGCTGAGTGTCCTAAGATAGATCTAGGAATGTATAGTCGCTGTTAGAGGGTAGTTCAATGTCTTCGCGGATGGATCTCCTCACCAATGGGGTGTTTCCCACGGAGCTGGTGAAGTTAGCTTGACAGCGCTGTTGCTTGTCACGAATTCTCCCCGGTCCTGAGTCTATTGTGTAATCTAAGGTTAGACTGAAAATTATAGGAGGCAGACAACAGGCGAGCCAGGTTATGCCTGTCCGACAGTGGGAAGCGAGCAGTCACCATGTCACATTCCTGAATAGCAGACTCGCTGCGAGTATCACGGCAACTTTCAGCGGGTCTGCTGACTCTCGCACGCTATCTGTGAACTTAGCCAATGGCCATATGTCCTTACTATATCTTGCGGTTCGTCTTCTCGTACCACAAGCGCTTGATCATGATCTCGTGTGAGGGGCGCCGATTTGAAATCAACGTCACTGCATCTGTTATGTGGAGATTTCGGATCTCGCCCAGAGCATGCATGCCTTTGGTTCGTATTCATGATAAATCATCCAGGGTTATAGAGTTCGACGCACAGTGACAATCATATTCGCGCGAAGGAGGTATAATAGAAGAATGGAGCCGATGATCAAGGCTCTCACAGGAGTTGATCACGGGCCACCTGGGAGTGCGACAAAAGCGCGGTGCTGAATATGCCACGTCGTTAGAGCGATAACTCCGGCTTTGGGACGATTAGACGACTTGAAGAGGTATCGTTGCAAAATTAGCGTTGCGCGCAAACATTCTTTGTATCGTGAGTGTTAGAGGGTCCTATAGTTAAAGGGTCGAGAAAAAACTCGAAAATTGATTTGTTCATCGTTGTGGTCAGCGAGCAAGCTAAATTGGCGACAGCACACGTGATCAAGAGTTGAATTACAAATAGTTCAGCAACGCTGGCGGACGGCCGTAAAAACCAAAGAAGGCGTTGCAGATCAGTGGCTAGTCACATCGAAAATTGGCCCTGGTGGAACATTCGATACGATGTTGCCGAATCTAGTGCAAAAGTTGCCAGGGCCCCGTTCTTGATGGTCCTTCGAGGGAAGAAACCAGTGGTTCGGTCACTGTACAGCGAGCAGCCGCACGTGTATATTATGTGATGAGCGCTGGTGATGTGGTGAGTGTAACCCAAGATGAGGTATAGGTTCCGCAACGCGGCGATGAAGGGGCATGCGCAAAAGGCGAGATGATTGATCATTGGATGACTTGGCACTGGAATTATATGCTTCGACGAACGCACAGGTGCCTGAGAAAGGCGAGGTGGGGAGTAACGTGTTATACGATTTATTTATTATAAAATGACTGCGGTCAACAGGCCCTGTAGTGATCATGACGTGACGTGGGTGCAACAGGATATGATTACCATGTTCGATTGCTGGCTTTAGACTTTCGGGGACATTGGACTCGGCGGCTAGCACTACAGGCCGAGGAGCGTGGATTTGGCGGAGATTTAGAGGGAATGATGGCTTGGCCATGAGTATTTCTGGCGATGTGGACAAGGTAGGGTTCATGATCAGGTGAATCAAGCTGAGAAACTACACGATATCCAATGCTCGAGATGGTGATATGGCACAGTCCAGTCCAGGTAGTTAGTTAAGCATCAACCGATATAGGTTAGGCTGACTGCGGCAGATAACAAGGATGCTGTTAATATTGGTCTGCTTGTGGGAGCCGTGGACTGGGTGGGATGATGCTGTATTCGATGGCCGAAGACCGCCAGGCTCAACAACGACAAATTTCGATGAGAATGGCGCATTAATTTAACCATAAATTGCTCATAATATACATGTAAAACAATGGATTTTTATACAAACTCAACTCCAAAAATTAAGTTTTTGACAAAATTACTCCAAAATGTTATGCCCCAACCCGGATTTCACCAATGCCATGAGCGGTGACGATGGGGCCTTGCCCGGCGTTGTCCGTAGCGATGGCCACACGTGTGAACATTTTCGTCAACAAGATCCTTGACGACCTCTTCCCTCCCCTCTCTACCCCCAACCACATCCTCTCCCTCCACTGTCCATCACAGCGTCGACACCATGGCGCTCAACCCCGACGCTCTTAACCTCAATTATGACAGTGATGACTCTATGCAGGTTGATTCTGAAAACGAACAAGTCAACAGTCATCACACTCCTGTCGATAATGTCCAAGACCCAGACCCAGACGCAGATGCTGACGGCGATGCAGAGGACGTTGATGACACTACCTCTCTCGCCATTGCTGGGCCATCTTCCTACACCCCAAAAGGCTCCGTAAGTCTCATATATCGTATGTCAATAATTCAAATCTTATTCAAGGTCATCTACATTTTTCAAAGGATGTTGAAGAGTCGGTATGTTATCTATCATGTCTTTTCCTTTCGAGATCATTGACTATTGTACTCAAGGGGTACGAAGATAACGTCGAGGAGGATGAGGAGGACGAGGACGATGGCTCCTATGCAGATGACGAGTACGGAAAAAAGAAAGCTCCGAAGAAGAGAAAAAAGAAATCACAGCCGTCATCGTCGGCACCAAGGCCTAAAGGTATGCACCCTGTTTCCACGGTGGAGCTTGCGCTTAGTTTTTGTACAGCCATCTCTCGGAACAATGATTCAGATTCAGATTCAGAATATGGGTCTAGATCGAAGAAGAAGAAACGGCCTCGTGTTTCTGGAGACGAAATTCGCGTCTCAAGCCGAGGCGGCAAGATTCCCAATTATACTGATGATGTCCAAGCTCTCGCTGAGCTATCAGAAGAGGATGTCGATCAAGGGTACTATGTCGATCCTACCGCGCAGTTCAAAGAGGAAGATGAGATCGAATCCGTCTTGAGCCATTGCAGAGATGAGGGCCGCGAAGACGATCCTGAGGACATCTGGTTTGATAATGTTGTAAGTCCCAGAGTCATTTTGGGCAAGCAGATTGTTATTGACATGTTTCAAAGCGTTTTCATATCAAGTGGAAAAATTTCTCGCATTTGCACAATACTGATGAGACCTACGAATTCCTCAAACGCTTCAAAGGCCTCAAGCGTGTCGACAACTATATCAAAGCTTACAAGATGTACCAGTCTCGCCTCAGTGCACCAGGTATCTCTCAGGAAGATGCTGAGGCATTGCTTCTTGAAAAAGAACGCGAAAAGGAGGAGCTCGAGACCTATAAGGTCGTCGAACGCATCGTCTCGCACCGTGATGGTGCAGAGGGCATGACAGAGTACTTTTGCAAATGGACTGGGCTCAATTATGAGCACTGTACATGGGAAACGCAGGAGGAAGTACGCCCCATCGCCAAGGCTCAAATTGAAGCATATCGACAACGAGAGGTTGAGGCAAAGTTCCCTTACAAGAGCATTAATTACGCGCGTAACCAACGGCCATCATTCCAGAAGATTGAGAAAGATCCTGACTACATCACCTCGACGGGTGGTGAGCTGAAGGACTTTCAGCTCACTGGACTGAACTGGCTAGCATATTTGTGGAGTAAAGGCGAGAACGGCATCCTTGCTGATGAAATGGGTCTCGGAAAGGTATATTGGATTTTTTTTTGCCTTTCAGAATGCTAAAACGTTGTACGCAGACCGTACAGACAGTTTCTTTCCTGTCCTACCTCTTCCATGAAATGCACCAGTATGGACCATTCCTTGTCATAGTTCCGCTTTCCACCATCACCGCCTGGCAATCACAGTTTGCGGCGTGGGCACCTGACCTGAATGTCATCACCTACATTGGAACCGCTCCTGCACGTGAAGTCATTCGGACGTACGAATTCGGTCCCTCCAACAAACGACTGAAGATGAATGTCCTGCTGACCACGTACGAGCTTACCCTCAGGGACGCAAAGGAGCTTGCGGACATTAAGTGGCAGGCGCTTGCTGTTGACGAGGTGAGGCAGAGGTGCAGAACGTCTTAGAATAGTCACTGATGGCCGTTTCAGGCTCACCGGCTCAAGAACTCAGAAAGCCAGTTGTACGAGGCTCTAAGGTCCTTCCCTGCTGCGTCGAAGCTATTGATCACTGGTACGCCACTGCAAAACAATGTCAAGGGTGCGTGTTACTACGACTGAGTTTTGGCGATTTTTGATAACACCACATCGC